GCTAACCCGGCCTGGCGTAGCGGAGGGATGTCACGATAATTTTAGATTCATCAACTTCAAAAGATGCGATTGCAACATCCAACAAGCTCAGTTCACAGACTCGTGGTGTTGCAGTGAGAATTGCCCGCACACTTCGGCATGCAAGGAAAAGAGAGAGACAGCCCGATGCCAAAACCCCCGCTAACGTTACCTTATCCCAAGCAACCAACAACGCGAGCACCCCGTCCACAGCAACGCCCCTGTGCTTGCCAGCCACGCCTCTGAATCCCTTGGCTGGTTGCTCCTCGCACTGTCTTCGCCGCTTCCTCATTCATTCTCCATGTTATTTCCACCCAGGCCGCTTGCCGCTTTAAGCGGGTTGGGGGCGCACAACTTACACTCACTTCTTCATACAGACATACATAGAAACCAATAAGTGAGGAGGCTGCAGCAGTTGAATGATGTACTCCGGTCCTCTTTGAAGATGCTGGCCCTCCCCTTTTCAACTCGAGTCTGCCCTTGAGTAGTTCGAACTCTGGCTTCTTGATTCTGCTTGTTAAGAGTGCACCTGGGGCTACCTCTCCACCAGACTTCTGCTTGGCTTTGTACCAAGGATGCCACTAATAGAAAAAAGATGAGATGATGGCTGGGCCGAGGCTCTTATCCTTGGCCGCGTTGCCTTCTTTGACAGTCGTGATCCGGGCCGGCAGATAATATCTCGGTTGGCATTTGTGATATGTCCTCACTAGTGAAGAGGTAACTCACCAACCCGTGAATACGATCTACATCCATCCCGAGTGCCGGCTTGGCCGACTACATGAGGCTGAAGGAGAGCCGAAAAGGAAAAACTTTCCAGTTCTAGGGCACGGCTTGGAAAAACACGACGGAGAGGATGTCTAGCCGTAACATCCGCCTCCGAAAGCATTCATTCCTCAGAGGCCTTTGACAACTCAACGAACACCCTCTTTCCATGGATCCCAAATCAAATTAACCCCCATTCTGCAGCAAGCTTACCCGATGGGCAGTGCACCCCCAAAAGAATAAGACATAACTACGATTGATCGAAACATCGAAAACGGAAAAACATGTCACAAAAAGAAACAAAGCAGCATGGCCAATTACCCCCGTGCCCCCGCATCTCATTCTTTGTGCCATCTGCCCAACACTTCCCGTGCTGCATCTGCTGCATCTGCCAAGCACCATCGTCAGCGAACCGCAGCAGCATTGGCAGAGGGTGTTGACGCGTCCCGTTGCCGCCCAAGGGACTTGGCCCCGGAGTCCGGCACTGCACAGTACTCTGCTCACTGGCTCGAGGGCGGGCGCGACATCCGCAAACTCCGAATAAGTGGCCGGTTGTTCCGACAGTCTCCGTGCCACTCAACCCAATTGTCTGCCAGCCTGATGGGATCGAGCAAAGATGCAGCTTTGGAGCCCGGATATGCTGCCGGTTGCGTGCTGACAGAGAGAGCACTGCCACCCTCATTTTCGAACGGGGGGGCACATCCTCCCGCATCGTTGAATCCTTCGGAACCGAATCTCAGGCAGGCATCCACCAGTGAACGGACCAATCGAAACCTGCATCAACCATGAAAGATCATAATCCGACGCTATTCAGAGCAAAGAACTGGAACAAAAACATCGACAGATAACCAGACCCTGAGAGAATTGTACCCAGGCATAACAGCAGAGACGATGGTATAACCCTGATAATACACACCCTCAACCCCAACTCGCCACTAAAACAATGCCCAGCTCTTACTTCCTCCTGGCTTCGTGGACAACGGCGATGATCTTCTCGACGACCGAGGGGTCCGAAAGCTAGTAGAAGGAGTCCACGTCAGTCAAGGCCGAGACAACAAGGAGCAGCATGTGGGGCAGCCGTGCATACCGTGGTGATATCGCCGAGCTGGTCCTCCTCGCCAGCCAAAATCTTCCTCAAGATACGCCTCATGATCTTACCGCTGCGCGTCTTGGGGAGGTCGGGTACGATATACACCGCCTTGGGGGCGGCGAAGGGCCCGATACTCCTGCGGACCTGTAGGATGAATTCCTTTCGGAGCGCATCCGACGCCTCATTGCCGTCTTTGATAGCGACGAAAGCGTTGACAGCCTGGCCTGTAAGCTCATCCGCTACACCGACAACGGCGGCCTCGGCGATGACGTTGTGCTCGATCAGGGCAGCCTCGATCTCGGCCGTCGAGAGACGATGGCCACTAACGTTCACGACATCGTCGACACGGCCGCGGATCCAGTAGAAGCCCTCATGATCCCGGCCCGCGCCATCGCCAGTGAACTGACACCCAAATCAGTCAAATCATCCTTCAAAGATATCGACAACGCTCGACACTCACGTAGTAGCCCTTGTAGACATTGAGGTACGTGTCCATGTACCGCTTGTGGGCACCCCAAACAGTCCGCGCCATGCTTGGCCATGGCTGCTTGAAAGCCAACACACCCTCGACATCGTTGCCGGGGATCTCGTCGCCTGAGACGGGGTCGATGATGGACGGCTCGATGCCAAAGAAGGGAAGGGAAGCGGAACCCGGCTTTGTCGGCGTCACACCAGCAAGAGGGGTGATGACGTGGGAACCCGTTTCTGTTTGCCAGTATGTCTATATACCACGGGTTAGCACGGAGCGGGGAAGCACGCTCGAATCCAACGGCAACTTACGTCTACAATCTGGGCCTCCTCCTTGCCGACAACCTCAAAGTACCACTTCCAGACCTCGGCGGCGATGGGCTCGCCGACAGAGCCGAGAACCCTCAGGTGCTTCATCTCATTGCGCACGTGTTGGTCGCCAGCACGCTTGAGCAACCGCAGGGCGGTCGGGGCGACGTAGAATTGCGTCACCTTGTGGTTATCGATGATATCCCAGTAGCGCGAGAAGTTGGGGTATGCTGGCGTGCCCTCAAAGACCACCGTTGACACACCGAGAAGCAGGGGCGCATACACGACGTAGGTATGGCCCGTGATCCAGCCAACATCGCCGCCGCAGAAGAAACGGTCGCCGTCGTGAATGTCGAAGACATACTTGGCGGTGGCCGCGGCGCCGAGGAGGTAACCGCCCGTGGTGTGCATCATCCCCTTAGGCTTTCCGGTCGAGCCGGAGGTGTACAGAAGGAAGAGCGGGTCCTCCGAGTTCATGGGCTCGGGTGCGAGATACGATGGCCATTTGTCGACCTCCTCATGCCACCAGACATCGCGCCCCTTCGTCATGGGGATGTCGGCGCCGGTGCGCTTGAAGACGAGCACGCCTGTGACGTCGGGACACTGCTTGAGGGCATCGTCCACAATCTTCTTGGTGCCAATCAACTTTCCGCCGCGCTTACCCTCATCAGAGGTGATGACGACCTTTGAACGGCCATCGATGACACGGTCGCGCAGTGAGTCTGCTGAGAAGCCGGCGAAAACAACCGAGTGGACAGCGCCGATCCTGGCGCAAGCGAGGAGGGCAACGAGCGCCTCGGGGACCATGGGCATGTAGATGGCAACCGTGTCACCCTTGCGCACGCCCATATTTCGGAGCACGTAGGCAACCCGCGAGACCTCGCGCAGGAGCTCACCATAGGTCACAGTCCGGCCATCGGTAGGCTCGTCAGCCTCATAGATGATGGCGACACGGTTGGGGTCCTTGAAAGCATGACGATCGACGCAATTATACGAGGCGTTGAGCTCGCCCTCGAGGAACCAGGCTACATCGCCGCCTGCAAGAGAGCCACTGCTCACTGTCTGGAAGTCCTTGTGCCAAGTCAGCAGCTCGCGAGCTAGCCTCCCCCAGAACTTGGTGGGCTCTGTGATGGACTCCTTGTAGAGTTGCTGGTACTCCTCGAGGCCTGGGGTTGCGCTACTGTCAGCGCGCCATGTCATGCAAGGGGAAGGTTACCCGACTGCCGGTCGCGGAGGGCGAGCAGCGGGTTCTGGGGGTTGCGTACCACTGAGGTGAGGTTTGCTCGGGTGCTCTGCCGCATCCAGGTTAGCCTGCTATTCGTCTTCTTCCCTTCGTCCAGGTGCCCCGCAACGCGTCTAAACTATGAACATCTCGTCTTGGCGCACGGCACAGGAGCGAACCTACTCTCAAGCATCTTCGCAGGGGGGTCTAGCAGAGAAATGTCGCGTCAGCCTTCTTCCATTGTTTCCCTTTTCCTGATTTGGCCTGTCGCAGCTAGAACCCGTCTGGTGCATTGGATGCCTGGGTGGGTGATTCGAGCTTACGGAAGGTGTCGACCTCATGAGCCTCGGCTACCACGGGGGTTTTGGCGCTCGTTTCAGCCATGATATTGGCGGCGAAGGAGGGGTCAGAGGGGATGGCGGGGTAGCGACTTTTCTCCAAGATGGCGGGGTGTTTGTCTCACGCAAAGCTCGGTGTGGGCGGGTTCACGACCTAATCCACAGAGGCGAGGGGAGCGAATATATTGAGGAGATATGGGGTAGGCGGGAGACAGTGAAAGAGCATTGATTCAGCGAGTTCGAGCCAGAGCAAGCAGCGGGGGGGGGAGGGGACACTTTTGTATTACAGCGACGATCGCACCAACGGATACCGGCCGAGATGAGCAAGCCCGCATGAACGAGGATGCAGTTCAGAGGTTGTGGACACCCACACTTTCCCCATCAATTGTGCCGGTAGCGGTACCTGACCTTAGGGGAAGCTCCGGCCGAGATGGGATGGTGGGGTGGTTTAACCAAGGGAAGGCGCAAGTGGGTTTCGTGGGTTTCCCTCCGTCCGACGAACCCCTCCACCAACTGCCACCAATGTCGCCATTGCTAGGCCCTTGTAGCCGGAATGGAGGCGGTGCTTAGACGAGCCTGGGCGTGTGCGCGAATAAAGCTTCTTTCTAGAGAATCCGAGGGTACTGAGGTCAGGCCCGAAATTGTGGCTTGCCTGAGGTTTCCGAGAGCCCCTCCTGCCGGCTCAAGTTGCAAGTCTAGGTTCCCATCTGCAGGTGGTCATGGGGGTTATACCAGCTGCTTGTTTGAGATACAGGCTAGGTGGCAGGGTGGTGTCCGACATCGAGGATCTGACATCCAGCCCTCTTTAAGACAAACTACTTGCCCCGGGCTGATGTGGAGATACATATCGGGGTCAGAACCGCGCAGGAGGGTTACAATGTACCGCAATCATTAGTTTTTTTCCAGGCTGCAGTCCACCACGCCGATGGAGGTTACACCAACAACCTCTTGGTCAATGGTGAACCCCTCCTCTCCCCGAGCAGATTGACAAATTGGAGCCTTCCAAAGGTGGAGTGGCTTCCGCCCAGGGGTCGACTTCCACCCCTCCCGTTGCTGTTTCCACAAAGCCGAAGATTTGATGGGGGGGTTAGCGCCCTCCTTTCCCCGGCGCCTGGGTAGGTCCCCATACAGCCCAAGAACTACAACCTCAACAAAAAAGCCATCCAGCTACCTACGTGGAAGGGCAGCTGGGCAGGTGTGACGGATCAGGTCGGCGAAGCCCCCGAGAGCGTCCGCGAGGATGGCGAGGATCGCATCCAACAAAGGGCAGCCAAGACGAAACTCTTTCAGCGGTAAAAAGGCACGGGATTATTACCATCACAGGCGGCCACCTGCGGGGACCGGTCAAATCAAGCTCCAGTTCCCCGCGACCAAGAAATTCTTCTGTCGCGCCGTGCATGCGGGGCATCAGCGGGTGACAGGTTGGGAGCCGGCTGGCTAATAACGTTCCTTCCATTCTTCGGTCCCCTGTTTGCCATGCGATCCAACAAGTGTGTGCAAAGTGGGTCGGTCAGTTTTGGGATTTGAGCCAGCCAGCAACCCTTTGATTCCCAGTATGTGTGTGTTGTGGTCGAGACGGTTCTGTGTACCGGGCTTAAACCAGGAATGCCTGCCGTGCTGACCCAGGTGCCCAGCACGCTCTCGCAAACTAAATTACCTAACAGATTTAACCAGTTGACCCGAGGGAGGGGATCTGAGACTATCGTAAGCACAAGTGTGTTCATGTACTGATACTTGAGAACTCAGTTTCCTTTTTTGGATTCAACGGCATCCATACTCTGGACGCAAGCTTCCCCCGCGCTTCTTTGAAGGCATCGCTTGGCCCTCGCGAGACGGATCGGCTTGGCTGATGCACTGCCGGCTTCAAGGCTTGGGAGTGACGAAGGCGGCGCTTGAAGCGTGATGCTGCCCAGGCTCGGCGACCAGGGACTGGTTTTCTCAACGACTGCCCCGCACCTGTGCCAAAGGGACCTCGCGAGGGGATTCGAACAACGAACTCCTTCGTCATTGGCGCCCATGGAGCGGGTTTCCCGGCGTGCATCCCCTGGATGACGAGAATCTTCGGTTACCGTTTTATCCGTGACATTTAACGCCAGCCATGCCTACCGTTGTTCTCAGAACTTGGGTATTGCTGGATCCTCGTTTTCCGTTCGCCATTCTTCACAAGTTCACGATTTCAAGCGGCAATGCGGTCTCGCCTAGCTGTTGCTGTTTTGTTGCTTTGCTGCTAGGCTTCTGTACCATCCATCCCCTTTCCCCAACCCCGAAGGTGGATCATCCAATCCGGGTGCCCCGATATCGAGAGCGATCTCCGTTCCCGCAAGACCGAATGCGCCTCTACCCCTGCATCATGCGACCCTGAGCATTCCACAACTCCGTTCTCGCGTGTTCGAGATGACCGAGAAGAAAGGAGAGTGCGAACCCGATGCCCCGTTGTCCAGCGCGCGGGTTGTGCAACCAGCCCTTTGGTCCGGACGCCGGGGTCAACCCTTGTTCTTTAGTGTCGGTAACTACCCACCTACCCCGAGAGTGTGGAAGGAGGCCTCTCAGACAAACTGAGCTCTTAATAATAAGTTTCGAGACATGCCACGGGTATGAAGTGGTCTACAGTGGAAAGTGATCGGGAAGGGGGACGCAACGTTTCAGCAGCCACTATCGACACACGCTGGAGATGGCCGAGTCAGTCACCTTCAAACCAGATAACTAACGATTAACCCATCATAGTTCGAGTAGCTAGAGTTCAGGTACGTACATACATACATAGATACAAACACATACCCAACATGTATCAGTGGGTGTCAGGACATTACTAGTAAATAAGAAAAGAAGAGCGTGCGCGAGAGGGGAATATATAAACCTCCGCGTCCATCATCAACAACGCAACACCGGCCTTCAAAAACACCAAACATTCGACATGGTTGTCAGGGGAATCAAAAACTAGAGGGGAATCAAAAAGAAGAAAAAAGACAACAAAAAACAAAACAACAAACAAACAAATAAAACAACAGTGGAACAGATCATCAACCAGAAAATCCGTCCTCGCCAGCAGCAGAGAAGCAGTAGCAGAGCAAAAGATGCCACCCGCCTGTAAAGCCATGCCCACCGTGAACATCGTCTCCATCCCCACCCATCATCTTCATCCCAGGCAAGCCCCATCATCCATCACCCCATCCCTCATTACCAAGGAGCTCTCCCGCCCCCTTTTTCCCAATCACCACCACCGCCACCACATCGTCAACACCTCACCAACACCCACAGCAAAACCAGCACCAGCACCAGTACCAAAACCACCCCCAAGATCCAAACCCAACCCCCACCCCAGCCCCGACCCTCGTCGCTCTCCTAAAAGCAGTTCAGGCTCCCCTTCTTCTTCTTCTTCGCAATGGTATTCATGCGCTCCTCCAGATGCGCGCGCGCAATCTCGGCATCCCTCCGCTTGCGCCGCTCTTCCTCGACCTGCTGCATGCTGTAGCGGTTCTCCTGCTCGGGCTTCTCGCGCAGCTCCTTGAGCTCGGCCTCGAGCTCGTCGCCGCGCCGCCGCCACGCGTCGCACTCGGCCCGGATCGCGTTCTGCTGCTGCTCCAGGTCCGTGAGCGCCTCCTCCAGGGTGGCGGTGAGTTGCTTCTCGGCCTTGAGGTGTTTCTCGATGAGCCGGATGCGTGCTTCTTGGTCTTCTTGGATTTGGATGATCCCGACGGAGGCGGCGGCCGCTGAGGTGCCGCCGATGTCTTTGCTGGGCGGGCGGGGGGTGGGGGAGGTTGTACCTGGGTTGGAGCCCGATGTACCGTTGGGGAGAGGGGGCAGCGGGATGGCGGGGGGTGGAGAGGGGAGGGAGGCGACCGAGGAGCTTTTGCGGACGGCGCCTGTGAGGGAGTCGGATCGCTCTGGGCTTCCGCTTGAATGGATGCTGTCGAGCTTGCTCTGGTTGGTGTTAGCGGCCGTGTTGGGGGAATGGGAATGGGGGGTTGTTAAGCATACCTGAAGAGAGGCGTATTCCTCCCGGATGGCATCCAGCTCTGACTGCAGCTTGATCTTGGCGGCGTTGGCCTCCTCCAGCTGGACGTTTCGTTCCATCTGTAGTGTCGAAAGGCGGTTGCTCGCCATCTGAGCCTGGTCGTAGTTGCTCTGGAGTTGATCCTCGAGCTCCTCGACAAGCCGCGAGTTTTTCTTGTTCTTGGTCTCGAGATCCACCACCTTCTTCTTGACCAGGGCGACCTGCTCCTCGATCGGGAAGTGGTTTTGTGGCTTGGCGCTTTCCGCCTCGAGAACCTCGGCCAAGCTCGCCTTGACGGTCTCGAGATCACGCATGACCGTGTCGTTGATGTTGGACAGGTCCACCACATGGGTTCTCGAGCTCTGCCCTCTTCTCCTGTTCCTGGACCAGGGCCTTTTGGTACGAGACAAGCTCCTCGAGGCGCTCCGAAATCCTCTCGACGCTGACATCTAGGCCGAGAGCGAAGGCGACTTGCGTAGCAACCTTCATGAGGTCTTCGCGCGCCTCGGTTAGGTCACCCTCGAGTTGGCTAATCCGACCGGCATGCTCGGACTTGAGTGCCGCTAGCTGAGATTCCACGTCTTGCTTCGAAGAGGACGTCATCTCCTCGACATCCCTGGCGTGCTTCGATTCCAACTCGCCGATGTTCTCTTGGTGCGCCTTGAGGGCCTGCTCATGGTCGGCAATCTGTGCCTCCAGCTTCGCGATCAGCTCATTGCGGGTCTCGAGCTCGCTCTTAGCCTCGTCACGGTCATGTGTGGCCATCTCGAGAAGCTTCTTGGTCGCCGTGTGTTGCTGTTCGACCTCGGTAACCTTGGACTGGTTGGTGGTGATGATGCCCTTGTACTCATCAATCTCGGTTCTCAAGAAGTCGACCAAACTCTTGTGCTTGGCCTCGACCTCCTTAAGCGCCTTCTCCTCCTCGGGACCCTTCTGCTCAGCCTCGGCCAGCTGTGCTGAAACGGAGGCGAGCTGGGCCTCGAGTTCCCCAATGGTCTTGGCCATCTGCTCCTCCGCGTCGCGCATGCTTTGCAGCGCTGTGTTGTGCCTGTCCTCCCAGCTAGAGAGTTCTGATGCGAGCTCCGAGATCTTCTTTTCCTGTAGCTCGATCTGAGCCGCTGATTCCTCAGAAGCTACTCTCGCCGACTCAGCAGCCTCCTCTGCGGCAAGAGTAACTCGGTTGAGCGACTCTTGCAACTCGGCGGCTTCCTTACCATTTGTTGCAGAATCTTCGGACTCGACAGCTTCCTTGCTCTCTGCTGCGGAATCTTCAGACCGGGCAGCTTCCTTGATATCCGTTGCGGAATCTTCGGGCTGGACAGCTTCCTTGATGTCTGTTGCGGAGTCTTCCGATGTAACCGGAGCTTGTCTCACAGACTCTTGGGCCTCGGCGGCCGCCTGAGCGGATGCCGTGGCCTTCTCTGCTGCCAAGGTAGCCTGCTTCAGCGACTCTTGCAGCTCGGCCAACTGCGCCTCCAGCTCCTTCTCCCGCGCGGAATGCGCCGCTTGCATCTCCCTGATGCGCCTTTCGCTTTGTTCTAGCTGCTCGCGGAGAGTTGACACCATGGCCATATCCATAGGGGAAGTGGCCTTCAAGCTTGACCGTTCACGCGTCAGCCCGGAGATAATGGTCATCTTCGTCTCCATCTCCTTCTTGGCGGTTGTAACATCGGCCTCGAGTTCTTGAATACGCTCAGATCGAGAGTGGAGTTCGTGCATGGCCGAGTTGAGGTTGAGCTCAAAGTTCTGCATGACGTCGGGCTGGTTCTCGAAATTCTCGGCAGCGATGTTCCGTAGCGATGCAAACGACCGGTGAGCGCGATCAATAATCATGACGTTCTGGCTTGACTTGCGGCGGATCACTGGAGTGTTACCCTTCGGCGATTGGGCTTCGGTGGTGGCAGCTTGGGCCTTTGCAACCTCCGTCTTGAGTTCCTCCACCACGTCGAGAGTATGTTGGTGTTGTTGCTCCAGCTGGGCGTACCGCTCGGCAAGTTCCCTCTCGGCAAACTCCCGCTCAGCGGCAAGGGTCTTGAGTCTCTCCATCTCTACCATAACGTCGGAGTTAGCCAGCTCAGTGGGGGAAGCTCCATGCTCCTCAGCCTTTGACACAGTGGTCTCGGCATCGGGGGCTCCCACGGTTGTGGCCGGAGAGTCCATGGCGGAAGACAGCTCGGACGAGAGCGACTTCAACGAGAGATGTGCGCCATCTCTCGTATCATTGGTCCTGGCGTCAGACAGGAAGGAGTGCGGCCTCGTCTGGAGCGGCGAGGCGACCGAAAGCATCGAGTCGCGTGGACGTTGCGGGTGCCGCGACTCATCGACCGCATCTTGCATATCGGCCAACGCGCGAAGAGCTTCCTCATACTTGGCTTGGAGGAGTTCGTACTCGTTGAGTGTCGACTCGTGTTCGACGCGTAGGCCGAGCAGCTCCTGGGTAACGGTGTCGAGCTTATCGGCGACGAATTTGGACTGTGCCGGGCTGGCGGCATAATCGGCCGCGCGATCTTCTGTTGCCAGGCGAGAACGCGAAGGCTTGGGGGTTGTGGCGTCCGTGGTGTTTTCCGCGGACGCTTTCAGCTCGTCGGCCTCCTCAGGGATGTCTTCCTCCCCACTTTCAGGGATAGTCTCCTCCATTTGGCTTTGTCGGCTGACATGACTCTGGCTGCGCGAATGCTCGGCGATGCTGCGGCTTGCCGTGCGCCGGTGGCCAGCGCCGTTGGTCAATCCGGTCTCGGCCTCGGGGACCGGTGCATCCGCTTGAATGTTGTCGAGTTCGTACAACAGGGAGTCCAGTTTTCCGAGGCTGCGTTGTCGCTCAACCACCTGCTCTAACCGGTCAATTTCGCGCTGCATCAACTCGGCATCTTGATCGGCTTCGGCGAGACGCTCCTCCAGTGTCGAAATGTAGTCCTCGCAGGTCGCCTCGTTCTCGCGCACGCGGGTGATCTCCTTGCGCAGCTCCATTATGATGGTTGCATTCTTCTCCTCGCCCGACGTATGACCATCCAGCTTCGCTTCCAGGTCGTGCAGGTAATTTTCGGTGCTCGTCTCGCGGTCCATGAGCTTTTGCAGCCGTGATTGGAGCTGGCCGTTGATGGTTTCTGTGTAGGCGCACTTGGTCTCTTTTTCAAGCAAGGACCCCTCAGTGATGGCCAGGGTAGCCCGGGTACTGGCGAGAGAATGCTCCAATGACTGAATCGTCTTCTCATATTCTAAGACCACCTGTTCCACAGCCTGCGCGAAGCTATTTGATCTGTTCAGGCGCTCGGTGGCGATGTCCTCTGCGTTTTCGTCGCGGTGTTGATTTTCGGCGGCCTCCTCATCCCTTGCCTTCGCCATCTCGGCAATGAGCTTTGCATGGCGCTCGCCCAGGGCCTTGTAATTTTCCTCCGAGTCGAGAAGGCGGTTCTGCAACTCAACTTCCCGCTCGTTCTGCCGCTCGGACCTCTCGCCAGGGGCCAGGGTCCGGCGCTCACCCCCGCTCCGTTCTGCACTCCGGATTTGCTCCCGCAGGAATGCGACCTCGGCCTTGAGCCGGTCGATTATGGCTTGCTTGTCGCCTTCCTCGACCTGTTGGATCCGCGGCTTGCTCTGGATCGCTCGGGCCCTCTGCGCATATTGCACCGTATTTAGCGTCTCGCTGAGGTGGAACTCGGCCGGCGTCACGCAGGCAATCATGTACGTGATCGCATTCCCGCCCAGCGAGTCCTGCAGCAGACGGGTGAGCTTGGAGTCCCGGTACGACACGTGGGCTCCGGCCTGCCGCGATGACAGCTGCGAAATGACCTTGCCGAGCGCGGCAAGCCCCCCGTTGATCGAGATTCCTTCCTTGGCCCGCTCGCCTTGGGCGCCCGTGTTCTTGAGGCGTTCGCTGCCGGCTAAATCGACAAAGTGCATCTTGCTGTCGGTAGTCACGAGCGTCTCGCCGCCGCCACTCAGACCGTCCAACGGCATCGAAAATCGCCTTTCCGTATTCGTGGTCGCTTGCTGTTTGCTTTTCTTCTGCACGAGATTCAAGCTAAAGACAGCGTGAGAGCGGGACGAACGGGCGTTGATGGCTGTCGCGTCGGTTTGCCGGAGCGTGGAGCCTTGGTTCAAGACGTTCATCAGATCTTCAACCGAGTTGACTTCGATCTGGTGCAAGCCGGTGAGGAGGATGTTGCCCTTGACGTCCTCGCGGATGGTGACGGTGCCTCGTTCGTGCGGCGGAACGTTGTCTGGAGCCAGGAGATCCCTCAGCTGCTCGTTGTAGATCTCGACGTACGAGGCGCGCAATGTCCAGTTCTTCTCCGCTTGGGCGGCGCCGGCCTGTTGCGCCGAGTACCGTGCAGGTGTACGGAGCTGGGACATGGAACTACGGTTGGGGTTTCGGATCTTGGGCCCCTCCAAATGCTCGAAGAGGGCAGTCGCGGCGCGTGGGATGACACCTAGGGGCGGGAAGGGGACAAGGTCAGCGATGGCGCATTAAGGCTGAGCGCCAAACGGCGGTGCGAGGCTACTCACCCATGACATCCGTGTCGTCTTGCTCGGCAGGTCCCGAGGTTCCCATCGTATACGATTTGCCGGCGCCGGACTGGCCGTAGGCGAGAAGCGAGACATTGTATCCTTGGGTAAACGCGCTGATGCACTCTTCCAGATACTCCCAAACCCCCGCTTGGTCAACCTCGGGAGTGAATACTCTGTCGAAAACAAACAGCTTGCGTCCTTGTGGCGACTCGATCGCAAGACTAGTCGGCGACTGGACCTGGACCATTGACCGCTGGAAGCGCTGTGGTATGAGCTCGTAGCCCGGGTCGGTCGGCCGCAGGGGTGGACGGACTCGAACCGCTAAAAAAAATCAAGGGAAAAAAAAAAAGAGTCAGAATGCAGCTGTCCGGGAGGTCGTGACACGCTCCGACTGCCAGATGCCGGTGGGGTTGTGATCGGATGTTGTGTACTCACCGACTTTGACGGCGGTTTTGGAATCCTCGTCCGACGCCCTGCTTCCTCCGCCCGTCCTACTCTGCATGCTCATGCGACTATTGCTCCTCGGCGATGGGCGGACCATGGCGCTCATGGGTCGCTGAGGCATGATGCCGGGCGAAGCTGGTGGTGAGCTCGCCATGTTGGCGGCGGCGGGTGCGAAGCGGGCGGCGTGGACCTTGTTAAAGGGGTTCGCGAATCGGTCGATTTGAGCCGGCGCGGTGGGACTGGCCCGATCGCCTTTTTCCGCCGGCGATGGGTGCCGCACAGGGAAAATCGTGGGACAAGGCGCGAGACTTGTGTACGGCACACGAGCTGTGCAAGTCTCTCTCAATGCCAGAGGCAGAACTCGACACCAATGACCCCGCAAAAAAGAGTTATGCTTCGGTGCATAGGTCCGTCATCCGCTGCTCTCCCCCAAAAAGGTCGAGGATTCTCCTGTCTCGAAGCGCGGGTATTTTTTGGGGGAAAATGCTTCACTGTCTGGGCGCCGTTTGGGGATTCCCCCTTGTTTATTTGATTGCACCGACCGGGGGTAGCGCAAATTACAAACGCGTCCCCTGAAGCTGCAAGAGGTGACAATGGGGCACACTGGGGCACTGGGGGTGACCCTGTGCCTGGCGATAATGTACCTGGTAACCTACCTATCGAAGCTAGCCCAAGAATGTGCAGCTCTTAACCTTGACTCCGCTGCCCGCTGTCTACTGCCCAGGTTCTTCTTGTTGAGGCGGCTAGCTGCGTTGATGGCTTCTTCCAGCTTGTCGGCTGCAAGTGGGCTTAGATATATTCAGCAACCAAAAAGTGGACCGCTAGTTACGAGGAAAAAGAAAGGAAGAAAAAAAAAGGAAAAAAGAACAGAAAAAAAAAACGACAGAATGCAAGGCCAAGGAGGGGTTTGCTCGCAACGGGCTGGCCGCCCGGTTCCTGTCGCCATCGGAGCAAACACCCATCCCATCGCCCTGTGGGGGGTGCTGTGGGCCCTGCATGCAACCGAGTCTGGGGTCGGGTCCAGTCTCTCGAAGCAACCCCGGGCCCCATTTCTGAGTCGGAGGCTCTTGACAATTGATGATACGCCGAGTGATATCCTCAATTGTCACACGGCTACCATTCCTCACCATTATCATCCCTCGATGGCATACTAATTGTACAAACGTGTCACTTGATATTCGACATGTTTGTCTTCCCCCCTCAGTTTCGGACACTGGGATGCCAGACACCCGAAAGTGTCAGGTTTTGGAGGTTTCGGATTCCTGGGTCTCTGGCGGCGCTAATCACGACACGGATACCAGGTATTCGCAGTTAACTCCCTCTGAAGCGCAATGCAGGATTACATGCCGCACACAACGCCCGGGCGTGATGAGCAACTTGGAATCGACCTCGTAGTATTCAACTTTGGCAAGCCATGTCGGCAGTGACCCTCCGATAGAGGGATCATCGCCCAGTTCGGTCCTCTTGAGGGATCGCGGGGCAACCCAGATGTAACCCATCTTGCCGGCCAATGCTCAAACGCCGTTGAGAAACTTGAGAGGCCCAGTGTGCCCTGGAGTTTTGATAGGCCGTTGGGCGGTTCGAAACAACCTTGCTGCATGACAGAGCTGCACGCCCTGACTTTCATCCGCAGGCTTCATCTTAGCATCCTGCGAGACATGGGACGACAAGTCTCGGCATCGGATCGTTCCGCGAGTGGCATTCGAGAAGAAGGCGGCACAGAACCTCAAGCGTCCGTTCCCCTCCACGCTCCTCCCGCTTGCTCGGTCAGTCCGCTGCATAAGTGGTTACATAACAAGTCAGCCATTGCTCCAGGGCGTTGGCGATGTGTGCCCCTCGTTTCCACAAACAGCGCTTTGCAAACGCCCCTGGCTTGAACTAGCCAGGGCTTGCCAGGTCCAAGCTCTCTCAACTTCCAAAAACGGGGCCCGCTGGCGGGTTCCCACGGCCGTGCGCACGCTAAACCCGACCAAGATATCCTCCATGGCGATCGGTTCGGCGAAAGCGACCGCGAAGGCCTGAATCTGGGCCAACGGCCGCCGAAACGAGAGTAGCTCGGGGAGACAACCACGTGCGGAGGTTCCGAGACACAAATAACGCCAGGGAGGAAGCGAGAACTGGAGATGAAGTTTGTGCTGGTGGTTTCGGAGAAGTTGGTTGAATCAACCTGTCGTCTGCCGAGGAAGCCCCGCACTACCACCAAAGTCCCGTCACTTCACAGCTGGGAAACCGTTTGCTGCCCGAAGGTTTCCTCGTCTGTCATATGGTTACAAATACTGCCTTGAAAGCACCCAAAATATTAATAATAATAGTGTAGAAACCCATGAAAATCACATCCGAAATCCACCATCATTCTAAAACGAAGGCGCCGGCAAACTCGTTCTCTTCCTGTTAGACTGCTCCCCATCACCGTCATCCCATACGTCTCCCCGGCATAACCACTACCTCGATCGCCGTCACTTTCGGTTTCTCATCTTAACCATATTCGCCGTAAAGCTCCCAATCTCCGCGACCACGTTGAACCCGTTAGTTCATAGTACACAAGTACACATGAGTCAGGAGAAGATGGGATGTCGATTTGGGGGGGGTGGTCAGCGGTGCGGGTCTGGGGAGAATGGCAGCCCCAATTCGTGATGCCAGCCAGGCCATTGGGCTTCCTGTGATCCTGTTTTACGTTGTAGAGGCACTGCATTCCGACATATTTGCTGCTTCAACAAACGCCGCCAAGACCCCCTTCAAAAGACGGTCACCGAAAAAAAAATCACGTGATTATGTGTTTGTTTCGTGCTTTCCGTCGTGTCGCCTCCCTGGTCGCCCTGGTGCGTTTTTGAAAGAGTTCTCCTCCTTGAACTGTAGCGTTTTCCTATTTGAACTGTAGTGGTCCGTGCGCAACACTGCAAAACGTCGGCTAATTAATTCTGCCGCTTGATGCCTGCCACACAGCATCACAGCATAACACCCGAAGCAACGTTACGATTCCACAACGGCGCAGTGAGAATACCCTCATTTGGGCATCGAGAATGGATTATTTAAGTGCTAATTTTTTGATTTCAGGTTTTCTTATTAAATATATGTCATTGCGCAGTCTGCAGGACATGGAGGAGTTACCGGCTTCACTCCAACCAGAGGCTGTCTTGACAGGGTCTCCTTATGGTGCACCTGCACCACCAAGCATCCCGCCAGGCCACCGTCTCCTCACTGGCCCGGCTTACGCCTCCTGCAACGAGCTCTTGCTTGATCTGAACTTTTAGGGGAAGTCCTATGGTCTGGGATTTGTGAAGAGGCGAGCTTCGAATTGAGAGTTTTGCGTATTTTCCTGAATCAGGGCTTGAAGAACTTCTTGGTATTCGTGCGTTCTGCTGGATGAAAATGGTGACTATTGGAGCGAAGTTCCATGATTTGTCTCCAAAGTAGGGCTCCGAATCATGCAGCTCACCGCCTTCCCGTTTTGGCTGACGCACGGACCACTACAGTTCAAATAGGAAAACGCTACAGTTCAAGGAGGAGAACTCTTTTGAAATGCCAGGATATTGTTGACTCCAAGATCACCGTAAAAGGGGGGGAAACACGCCAATGTTTGTGTGCAGGGACATCGTCCGCGGACTATAAAAGACAATTCAGACTGGCCACAGCATGCCCGTCGAAGTGATCTCGCTCCTCTCGAGCTCCGAGGCGGGCTCCCCCCCGCTACCGAAAGCGAGTCAACCATTACCACCGTCGGCAAGTGTTGCCAAGATCACAACATTCAGTTCTGACGACATATTTTCCCCTTTGCCCCCCGCTCGTCAAAACAACAACACAAATATTTCGAAGTCAAATGACCGACCAAACGACCGAACTACCATTGACGATGTGTGGCTCATCTCAGACGACGAGGGCATTCCCTCCAAGGATTCCCGCGGGCAAGAGGGCACATCTAATAATGGGCCTTCCTCAAAAAGACGCCGCTTAAATTGTTTCGATGCGGATATCAGCAATCCAGATGGCCAGCCAAAACTAACCACAACAATAGCCCCGCCTCAGGTACCCGGGCCCAGGCGCCAAAGCCCGACAGTCTTTCCTCGTTCAAACTTTGAACGGCCGGTTCCTCGACGAAACTGGCTTGACTCTGACCCATTTGCAAGTTCTTCCCCTCGGGTGGCAGAGCAACCATCCCCAAAGTCTAGCAATCACGCTGCGGCGCTGCCGTCAAGCTACTTGGACGATAATCCCTTTGTTAGCTCCCCCGCCTTGCAAAGGAGGCCCCAGCCGCCTAAAGCCAGCGACCGGGCACCCAAAATCGACGACATTGATCCTTTCGTTTCTAGCTCGCCAGCACGTGTCTCCGGTCCAGTCAAAGCGGCCCAATCCGAAGTAGCATGGGATCCAATTTCGAGCTCTGCTCCTCTTCGGACGGCGAACGAAAATGAGCGCGGGAAGTCTCCACGGTGTTTTCGGAGGGCTCAATCAGAAGTAATCACGCTGGATGATTCTGAAACCGAGTGCGCAGCCCAGCCATTCTCCGATGATGACTTGCCAGACATCACCGATCTGGCTGCCATGAAGCAAAGGTTTACCAGACACGACCGCCTGCCTCAGGTATCTACCACCGCTAAACGAGCACGGAAGCCAAAATCAGCGGGGTCGAAGGCAGACTCAACTCAGCCAAAGAAGACTTCTTTGGAGATAGCGAGGGAAAAGGAAGAAAAGATCGCCGCCCGGGAGGCAGAAAAGGAACGCAAGAGGTTAGAGAAAGAACGCACTAAAGAAGAGAGAGCCCAGGAGAAAGTGAGGGCTGCTGCCCTGGCCGAAGTGAACAAGATTCGAACATACAAAAAGGTGGCCACGCCAGAAATGATCGTCGACCTCCCTACAACTCTCAACGAGTCCGTTAAACTACAAGCGGCCACCCTTCTCCGCGACCTTCAGGTTGATTCCGCCACCTGGACAAGCCCCGTCGATAATGTAGTCAAATGGCGCCGCAAAGTGAGCTCCCGGTACAACGACGAGCTAGGCCACTGGGAACCCGTCCCCGAGCGAATTGACCGCGAAAATTACGCCATGGTGATCGTTCCGGCAGCGCAATTTATCGATCTCGTCCTCGGCGAGGAGGATACCAGTCTCGAATCTCATGTCCTGCGTATGAAACGCCACTTCCCAAACGACACTATCATCTACCTACTCGAAGGTTTGTCCCTCTGGTTCCGCAAGAACCGCAACGCCCGCAACAACCAATACGTTTCTGCCGTACGCAACGGCCTCGACCCGGCCTTCGACACCTCCAACACCCAGCAGCAGCGCAAGCGCAAAAACGGCAACCCGCAAACCTACATTGACGAAGAAGTTGTCGAGACCTCCCTCCTCCAGCTCCAAGTCCTCCACGGCGTGCTCATCCACCACACCACAGTCTCCCTCGAGACGGCCCGCTGGATCACCGTCTTCACGCAGCACATCAGCACGGTGCCGTACCGCCGGCAGCGCGACGAGGCCAACGACGCCGGGTTTTGCATGGACACCGGGCAGGTCAGGACGGGTGACGGGCCGCATGACACGTACGTGCGTATGCTGCAGGAGATTGCCCGGGTTACCGCGCCCATCGCGTATGGCATTGCGGCCGAGTTTGGGACCGTGGCTAAGTTGGTGAAGGGTTTGGAGGAAGGGGGCCCGCTGAGGTTGGAGAAGGTGCGTAAGAGCGTCAACAAGGAAGGGGAGGTGAGTGAGAGGACGGTTGGGCAGGCGGTTAGTAGGAGGATGAGCAAGATCTTTCTGGGGAGAGATGAGACTAGCACGGAGATCTAGATTACGAGCTCGATGAGCGGGCGGTGCATGCATGCATATAAATGGAGGGCTCGCATAATGTATGTAAACAGTCTGATACTCTATCTGGGTCCAATCTTATTAGAGTATGTATTACAACCGGGCCATGATCAAGCCATCCACGCATTAAGTGGTTCCTCTCTCGAAGACCATTTAAACGTCCCTGTGACATAAGAAAAAGACATAGGAAAGGACATAAGAAAGGACATAAGAGAAGGACATAAGAAAGGACATAGGAAAGTATCTAAAAGAGTGACATCAACCCCTTCATTCCTTCCCAAGCAGCACCTTCAAGGCATGCACCACAGCCTCCACCACCTCGGGCGTCCGACTCTTCTTAGCACACTCCGTCAGCGCCTCCACCCCGCCAGCGGCGAGCAATTTCTCCCTCGCCAACTGGCCTACCTCGCCCTCCTGCGAAAGCATATTGTGCACCACCACCGCGCCCCGATGCCTCAGCCCCTCATCACCATTGTCCCGACACAAGCCCAGCACCACCCCCGCCCCGCGCGGCTGGAGCAGCACCGCGCGGACGATAGCGTCGAACGCGGTCAGGCTGGCTAGGGCGCCGCCCGCCGCGCTGCGCGTCTTGGTGTCGTCGGCGTCGGCTAGTGCTAGGATGAGCTGCACGCGCGTGGCGGCTTTGGGCGAGCCGTCGCCGAAGAGGGTGATGGCTTCGGCGGGGCTTTGTACCAGGTTGCAGACGAGTTCCACTGCGGCGGTCGAGATGCGGATGTTGCTGCTGAAGAGCTGTTCCTCGATGTCGTCCCAGGCGGTGCGCACGATGGCGCGCCGCGTGGTGTCGTGGTCGTCGTCCGTTGATGCGAGGTTGGTGAGCGCGAGGAGGGATTCGAAAGTGGGTAGGAGATCCCGGGTGTCCGATGTGGGGTCTGGAGGGATGATTGAGGTGAGAGGGCGGATGGCCGCGGTTTGAGGGGTTTGTTGGCGGAAGACAAGGGTTGGGTTGGTAGAGATGAGGATGCGTGCGAGGGCCTGGGCGGCGGTCCGCCGTGTGGTTTCTTCCTTTTCTGGGAGCGCGGTCCAGGCTGCGATGAGGAGGCGGACGGCGCCCTGCTGGGCGAGCTGGCCGCGGAACGAAGAGGTGACAGAGAACGAAAAGATGATGGAGATGATGAGAGATAGAGATGCGACCGAGGCCGCCTTGCAGTGCTTGACGAGAAGCGGAGTGACGCCAGAACTAAAAACAAGTTTGCACCGCTCTGATACGTGAGCATCGTCACTCAGAGGATTGGGTTGCAGCTTTCCGGCCGCGTTAGCATAGGCTTTGAGTTCCCTTACCCTTTTTTGTTCCTCAGTCTCGGCGGGTTGGTAGCGAGTAAGGTGGGTAATGATACTAAGAACGCCGTACGCCAGTGACGACTTCGGGGGTGCCGATTCAAGAATTTTGACAATCTGTTTCAACGATTTGCCGTCGCGAGCTAGCTGCTCCCTGATGCTAGGCCGTGTAGTTGCGTATGCCAGTCCCTCGACCGCATACTGGACATCTTCGGGGTCCTCGGTGGCAAGCATCTCGGCAAACCTCTTGCATAAAACTTCAAACTTTGGCGTTGCTGATTCAATCTTGGGTTCGGGTCCCTGGCTGGGTGTTAGGTTCTGCTGAACGGGGGCGGCCTTCAAAGTTTCTTCACGTCAGCTGGCTTCACGATGATGAACCCCACAACGAGTCTCCCGTCACAGGCGTTCGGAGCGGCCTTCTTAGCGGCCTTCTTAAAGGCCTTCCGGGCACTACGACGAAGTGTACGGACATGGGCGCTAACCATAATCTTCGTCCAGATAACTCCAGCAAGGCTGCGAGTTTTCTCGCAGTGCTTTCTCAAGTCGTCGGTCATTTCCTTAAGCTCAACCTCGGTCCCTCTGAGTTCCATCATGGCCTCGACACGTAATTCGGGATTCTCAAAGATGAGATCCTCCATCCAAGAAAGGCAATGCTTGTAGATAGCAGCATGGCACTTCGTCTGCATGCATGCGGCGCTGAGCATTTCCAAGCAAGCCATCTCGGCCTTCCGGCTCTTGTACCTCCCGCTCATCAGCGGTGCAAGGCTGGGGAGAAAGCCATCGGTGTGGAGGAGCTTTGACATGGTATCGTAGTCCATGGGGAATATGGCCGCAGCAGCACAAAAGGCGATAATGTAGTCTTCGTAGTGGCCCCGACGCATTCTGGCGTGAAAAAACTCATTGATATACTCTGGGCCCTGCTTGCCAATAGCATGGAGGTAGGCTGCTGTGCAAAGGGTGGCTTGGGCCCGGACGGTGTCGGATTGTCTCATGTCGAGGTAGAGAAAGATAGTGTCGACGCAATCGCTGTCGATAACATAGGTGATGGATTGCTCGCCCTGTTTAGTGCGCTCGACGTCCTCGTTGAGGAGTTTTGTCAGTTTGGCAAGGTCGACCGACAACTCTTCGTCCTTCTTGCCACCTTCCATGAGTCGAGCGAGAAGAAGTAGGGCCTCGCCTTGCTTCTCAGTGGTCTTGACCACAACGGATGATTCGAGGACAGAGACAGGCATGGTGATTGTTGGGATAATAGTAGGAGTAGAAAGGTGGTTACGGGTAAATGGGTCCGATGGAAAGATAGGCTCAACGTAGCTGAGCGTAGGAGCGGTTATAAAGTGTAAACGTGCCTGTAAGCGCGTCTGTAAACGCGTCAAGGAGGTGCCAGAAAGGCGTGGAGGTATGAATGACTAATGTCAGACGACGGGAGCCGAGACGCAAGAGTTGCAGGTGTTGCAGGTGTTGAGAGTTGAGAATTGAGTGTTTGTAGGACAGGTATCGACGCGACTCGCGCGAGACTCAATGGTTGAAAGAGGTTCGCGTCCACGCGCTAAGGAGGTGCAGACAAGGCTTAAAGGTCTGAAAGATTGACTCTAGACGACGGGAGTCGAGAGACAAGGGTTGCGGGTGTTGAGAGTTGAGAACGAGCTTTTGTAGGACAGATCTTGACTGAGAATTGATCGTGGAAAGAGGTTGTAAGAGGGAAGAAGCAGACTCAGATTTGGAACTGGTCGGCAGAGATTTTCTAGACAGATTCTAGGCAGAATTCCAGGCAACACTCTAGGCAAAAAATTTCCAGAAGCTACCATGACCGGCAGCAGGCCTTTCGTGGACAGATGATGTTGAAGCTCACGAACCTTTGGACGTAAATCGCCTGAGATATCTGAGGCTTGGCCCCGCCAAGTTGATGCCCCACCATAGTTAGCGCCAAGTGAGCGCCATGCAATTAGGTACTGTAAGGTAGTCTAGTCTGAGAGCGGCATAGCGCAAGTTGCATGTGACAGCGGCCCATCGGTTTGGTTATGGTCCTCCCAATTTTCCACTGCTACGTAACGAGTAACTCCATGGTGGACAACTCGCAACGTCATTAGGCCATCACAAAAAACCAACAGCGCACATGAAGGCCTTCGACTTACGGCTGACCTGCGACGGCCTGCTGCATCACCTCGGATTTCGATAAACCGGATTTGCCGAGGAACCTAAGCAGCAGGGAACAGAAAGCAGCGAGCAGAGAGCAACGAATCGGCGAATCGTCATTGATCGACAGGCACGGACGACAATTCTGACATCCACCGAATGCCTGCGAGGTGTCCTACCCACGACGGATAGCATTGCACGAAGCCATTGCAGCGAGCGATAGCAGCCACAGCCACATAAACACACAGGGCCAATTCAAAATGAGCGTCCAGGATGCAGTTGACGCCTCGGAGCATTACGAGGTGTACAATACTGACGACATACCATCGCTCTGCACCATTGTCATCGACACCAACCCACGAGCCTGGGCCGCCCTCACCGATGTCCTCCCCATCTCCAAAGCGATAGCGAACATCTTGGTTTTTGTCAATGCCCACCTCGCATTTAGCAACTCGAACCAGGTCTCCATCATAGCCGCCCATACCAACCGCGCCGTCTGGCTCTATCCAGCGCCGCCAAGGCAGGGTCGTTCTCAGGATGTCGATATGCAAAATGCTGCCAGCGACAGCAAATCCTCCTCTGCCAATAAATACCCCCAGTTTGCCCAAATAGAAAACTCCCTCCTAACTTCTCTCCGCGCCCTCATAAACGACACTACCGATGCCGACCTCGCCTCGACAACGACCCAAATATCCGGCGCCCTGACCCTCGCCCTCGCCCACATCAACAAAACCGCCCTGTCCTTCACCGCCTCCTCCACAGCCGCCCACGCTGCGACGAACACCGGCACCGCCATGACAGCAGGCACCGCAGTCGGCCCGAACCCCGTATCAAGCACGTCTATGAACGGCGGTGGCCTCGCGGGCCTACACGCACGCATTCTGATCCTCTCGGTCAGCGACAGCGCCCCGGCGCAGTACATCCCCACCATGAACGCCGTGTTTGCCGCCGCCCGCGCCCGCATCGCCATCGACACCCTCTCCCTCCGCGGTAGCGCCACCTTCCTCGAGCAAAGCCAGCTTCATCACCCGAGGCACCTTCATCCCAGCCGCCGAGCCACGCGGGCTGCTTCAGTACCTCATGTTCGGCTTCGGCAGCGGGACTGCGCCCTCCAACCCGTCAGGCGGCGCAGACTCGGGCAAGGGCCCAGCCAGCTCCAAGACCGCCACCGCCGGCGGCCAAGGAACCACAGCAGCAGGAGGAAGACATCCTAGAACAGCCAAGCTCGGGCTGGGCGCGAGCGTGGCGGAGCTGCTCGTGACCCCCAGCGCGGACGCGGTCGACTTCCGCGCGGCATGCTTCTGTCACCGTAACGTGATCGACACGGGCTTCGTCTGCTCCGTCTGCCTCAGCATCTTTTGCGAGGTGCCCGACGGCGGCGAGTGCCTGACGTGCGGCACCGCGCTGGCCTTGGGGAACTACGGGAAGCGGCCGGTTGTGGCGGGCGGTAGCAGCAACGTCAGCAACGGAAGCAGTAGCAGCAGCGCTTCGCCGGGCGTTGGGCGGAAGGAGAAGAGGAAGCTGGGAACTAATGGGGAGGTTTGAAGAGTGGGAATCGATATATACCGTCGTGCTCAGTTGAGGATGGGCAAGGGGAGGAGAGAGAGAGAGAGAGAGAGTTGGGGGTGGGACTGTATAACCGCCGGATGGCCAGTCTTTGTTTTTTTGTTTGCAGTTGTAGACCATGGCGTCCTCAAAGGGCAAAGGGGCATCAAAATCGTCTGGGTAGGCGTGGCGTTAGGAGAGAGGAAAACAATATGTTGAATTATCAGAGTCTCATACTGGGATCATACCGTAAATCTATCAGGACTTCAAACTCGTCGCCCTTTGCACATGTCTATCCCCCAGATCACAGCTCAGGTCACAGCGGCCCGTCTAGAAACTGACGGACATAGATTGTTGATGGCTGCTCTTGTACGAGCCTCAACCTGCAAGACGAGATTGAAGCGACGGCCGAGCCACCACTGGGTTTGGTCCACACGAAAATAAAGAGGCAATGACTTCTATCGGTAATCTCTGACGCTACTCTGACAAGGTGCAATGTAATGCATTCAAGGTTCGTCTCTTATGCAGGAATCGTCGTTCTTTCGATCTCGAGCGCCCTCTGACATCATACTCCCAACAGCGCGTGCCCTACAACATCATGATGACGCCTCAGTCCAGCCGAATCTTCCGCCCGCCCAGCGCAACATGCCCTGTCTTGCCGAGGCGCGACATGACACAGAGTGGCTCGCGTTCCGTCGACGACATGGAAGCTAGTGCAAAAGAATCCGTATTGTGGGCGAAGTAGAAGTATACCCCGGTACGGTCTTTCTTGACAGCCATTACCCCGATAGCCGCGGCTGTAGGCTGGCTCCTGATCCCGGGGTGATTCATGAAGTCATCGACGACGAAAGATTCCATGATGGTATGCTCGTCCTCCTCGACAATGTCCCGTCCGCCAGGCCCACGGCGCGTACCTTGAAAGAGGCGTTCAGCGCATTTGCTTGAAGCGAGGCAAGTTGCCATATGTTCGCCGGTGCCGCTGGTAACCGCGGCCACTGATGTCGCCAGGTCGTCATCTGGGTCCTCCGGAACGACAGCACTCCCGACACCGACTAGAGCGGCAGGGCCAGTGCGGCCTTTGTGCTTCATTCCGATGCCTCCCGATGAGGATCCTGCTGCAATCCGTCCCAGTGAGTCGATTGCAATTACCCCAACCGTATCCGTCACAGTATCTACAGCCTCGTCCATTCCCGCCGGGGGTTCCGCAGGTCGGGTCGTGTTGTTCTTGTCACACGAGGAGTCGAATCCATAAGTCTCATAGTAGTCGAAATCATCTACCATGTCCACCTCGGTGTCTTCATAGCTTATAGACCCATCGTTGACCGAAGCGGATGCTGGGGCATGTGACGACGCGAAATATGGCGGGTCGGCTCCCAGTCCTGCACATACCCTCGACTCCATCGGCGTCGACGGACCCCTATATGGCTGAATGGACGAACCCAGGAGATTTAAGGGACAAGGGTCGGGGAATTTTGGCTTGCCCGGCGCTTCCCTCGATGCGCCCATTGGATCAAGAAGGGCCGAGGTCGAAACGATTGTGGCTGCGGGTAGTTCGTGGCGGCCGGCTTGGAAACGACCAGCATCCGGGGAGTCGGGTTGACCTTCATTCCAAATGCCGGTGAGAATGGCCGCGGTATGATCTCGAGCCTGTACATCACCGACCGGCCTCGCAACCTTTCCATAGGCACCTAGCGATGGTGTCCTCCAACCGTTCCAGTATTTCCTGTATCCTGGACGAGACTTCTTCCCCTCAGCCCTCCTCAGGTCCTCGATCCAGCTGAGATAACGGTCTTTTGCATTTCTCGAGACTAGATACTCGTTCTGGACGGTTTTTAATGCGTGCTCCTCCGCGAAGTCCTTGGCTCCTGAGCCTATAAGGATGTTGGGCGGGACTCTGCGGAGTGATAGTGGCAGACTGCTCGTGTCGAGGATCTTCTTGGCCAGCGTGATAGGGTTTTTGACACCTGTGAGTAACATTAGCGGAATGCTTTTTGGAGCAGGATGACCAGGTCTGGCACGCACCCCCAACAGCACCACAGGCACCGCTTCTTCCGAGATGGTCGACAATCGTGGCATCACACTCAACCACACCATCGATGTTCAAGTTGCTTCCGAAACCAGCATTTGTAATCCCATTGTCTTCTAGACATCTAATGGCGGCCTCGACGGCCTCGGGAGCAGTTGCGCCAGCCCTGAGGAAACTCATGCCAATGCGGGCAGCACTAGTCGTGCCGTTAGATATGTGAATAGCTTAGAGGGTTCCCGGTGGAGAACTTACTCAGTACACGCTTGAAGGTGTACACCCTCATTCAATACACTATGGTATCCTGCTCCTGCGTGTACGAATATCGAAGCAACCGGCTTGTTGGACGACCTTTCCCACAAGCTGCCGACGGAAGCCTCTCCCCCAGGGCCAATGGAGAAGAACTCGGGGGCACTTGACATTGCGCCGGGTTTCCGAGACAGTCTCCTTTGTCGAGATGGAATAGCAATTCGCCAAGTAATTTTATGGTGTCTCGTTTCTTTTCAAAGCAAGGTGATCGGGCCTCTGATATTGTTGCGTGCGCGAGCTGTCTGACACGCCGGTAGGCGAGATATCAAACCAAACAACTGAGGTTGTGTTTAGGGTAGCCAAGATAGCGGTGGCTCGATAGGTTGGCTGAGTTACGCCCAGCTTTCGGTCTGTTGGTGGTGGGTTGCTTGTCAGTCGTGGGTATCGTCAAAATCGAAGGAGAGGAAGCAAGCAGGGACCGAAGAAAATGGAACCGTCTCACCAAAAGCAAACCAACATCTGGAAAAGGAAACAAACGCTACTGGCTCTAATTCCCCCTGGGGTAATCGGGAAGCTGCCTTAGGGACGGAGAAAAAGCCAGGCGTTTTGAGCAAACCGAGGACGATAGAGATGAGGGTATGGAAACTTGTCGCTGGAAGATGGCAGGGCGACCGGAAACAGGTGGTCGTTAGTTTTGTGGGTGTTAAATGGCCGAATTACACGGTGCCAGTCTCAAATTTTGGAAGTATTGGTATCTAGGGAAGGAGCGACGCGGTCGTGTTCCTTCATGATTCCCGCATCTCATGAGCGCGAGCGCTACTGTGCCTGGCTCAACCTTGAGAAAGACCGACCGTGCTTGCTGGGCTTCTATGCGATGGTTGTTCTCAATTATTTTATTCCATTCTAGAACTTGAGATTTTGCCGGCACTGAGTGATTAGGTAAACGGTCTATCATCTGCTGCCATATTTATTGACTAAGTGGTGTCTCAGTTGCGACATAAGAGGTTGCATCTGTCTGATGAGCTTGAGCCGATGTTAAAGACGTGCCCGGTTGTTGCCCTTTGCAGCTTGGGCAGACAGACGTTCCGGCCACCGTAGCTGGCGGGGCACCCGTATTTCTTGGCGCACAGCCGCAGCGTGGGTCAACTCGGGGAGCTTCGTCAGACGTAATCTTGGACCTCAACGCTCTCCACTAACTGCCTGCCTGCATCCTGGACGACACCTCGCCCTTGAGCGTCGCTTTTTGTATTGACCGCGCAGAAACACTAGCAGGAGCTGCGCGCAGCAGCAGACATTTGCAACAATGGCCAACCAAACCCCAGCCGTTGTCATGGACAAGTAGGTGTAGCGGCGAGACCCCCCTTAGCCCCGCTCTCGAGGAAACAGAGGAGGATGCGCCAGCCACAAGTCCACCAAGTCTACGATCGCTGACCACAACTTACCCTCGCAGCGGCACGGGGTTCTCTAAGCTAGGTTCGTCTCCCCCCTTCGGAGCTGACAACGACTTCTCGCCGTTTCATGGCTGACCGGTCATTCTGTTAGGTTTCGCCGGAAACGACTCTCCTTCGTTCGTTTTCCCGACCGCGATTGCGACCAAGGGTGCCGCGACCGGCGGTGGTGCGGGTTCCGGCCGCCCTCCCGTTCCCAACAGGCCCTCTTTCCTGACCGGCGGAGCTGGCCCGACCGGTCATCTATCGGGGAAGCGCGGAACCGAGGACCTCGACTTCTTCATTGGCGACGAGGCCATCTCGGCCGCGGGTGGACCTGGTAGGTCCGTTCCACTGAGGAAGAAAGGCGGCGGCTGACGGAGCTAGGCTATGGGTTACACTACCCGATCCGGCATGGGCAGATCGAGAACTGGGTTGGTTGAACAAGTAACGGATGCTGGCGGGAGAGGCTAATACGTGGCGGCAGGATCATATGGAGAGATTCTGGTCTAACTCCATTTTCAAGTACCTCAGGGTAGAGCCCGAGGACCACTACTTCCTCCTCACGGAGCCGGTGAGGCTGCCCTTGGTATTTGCGTATGATGCTGTGGCTAATAGACTCTAGCCCTTAAACCCGCCCGAGAACCGCGAGAACACGGCCGAGATCTTCTTCGAATCCTTCAACTGTGCCGGACTATACATTGCCGTCCAGGCTGTGCTAGCACTTGCTGCGTCGTGGACGTCGTCGAAGGTCACGGATCGGTCTCTGACAGGCACGGTTATCGATTCTGGTGACGGTGTTACGCACGTCATTCCGGTCGCCGAAGGCTACGTGATCGGTTCCTCGATCAAGTCCATCCCCATCGCCGGCCGCGACATCACCTACTTTGTCCAGTCGCTCCTCCGTGACCGCGGCGAGCCAGACTCGTCTCTCAAGACGGCGCAGGAGATCAAGGAAGAGTACTGCTACGTCTGCCCGGATATCGTCAACGAGTTTGGCAAGTACGACCGCGACCGCACCCGGTTCTTGAAGCACGTTGTCGCCCATCCGGGCGGCCGCCAAGTGAGCGTCGACGTCGGCTACGAGCGCTTCCTGGCGCCTGAGATCTTTTTCAACCCCGAGATTTACTCATCCGACTTCCTGACGCCGCTACCCGTGGTTGTCGACGGCGTGATTCAGTCGTCGCCCATCGATGTGCGTCGCGGCCTGTACAAGAACATTGTCCTCTCGGGTGGCAGCACGCTGTACAAGGACTTTGGCCGCAGGTTACAGCGCGATATCAAGCAGCTCGTGGACGCCAGGATCCGTCAGAGCGAGGTGCGCAGCGGTGGTGCCAAGAGTGGAGGACTGGAGGTGCAGGTCATCGGGCACAAGAGGCAGCGTCACGGGCCGTGGTTTGGCGGGAGCTTGCTGGGCCAGACGCCCGAGTTCCGATCATACTGCCACACCAAGGCGGAGGTACGTTCTATGTCTGAATTTTGCGGTGGGATATGGGTTTAGCTAACGATTCGACAGTACCAAGAATACGGACCGGGTATCGTGCGGAGATTCGCCCTGCTGGGAGGACCGGGTGGCTCGTAGAAGGGTCATTGATTTCGTTGTAGAAAGCGAGCGATATTTATGCGGAGAAGGCGGCAGTGTTTCATGGGTGGCGCCAAAAACAGATAGGTGAACGACGTTAAGTTGACATGCCGTTATGTTTGCTTATGGACCTCATGTATGGCAGCCCGATGGTGATGGTGATGGTGAAAGGGACGGCCCACTGATGCCAAGCCGGCGTGCCCCATATTTCCCGCCTACTGCAGGGATGCCCGGCCCCGGCGGTTGGGGCTCCCGAACACATGACCGTTTGGGGCATGCAACGGGCCATATAGCGCTTGGAATAACGTCGCTCTACCTGGTTGGGATGTTCCGCATGATGTCTTGTTAAACCGGCTCCTCCCGCAGCAGTTCGCCCCTCACTATGCCCTCCTCATGGCAGGGCCGGTTATGCGTTATGCATGCCACACATCAGCTCGGTGGCTTGAGACATCGAACGCAAGCCCGGGGCAGCGGAGGTCTTGCGGGGAACCCTGTGATTTCCTATGTCGTGTGGCATGGTCTAGACTTGTCGAGCTGTTGTTGGGAATTTGTGACTGACGTAACCACGCTCGGGGTTCCAACCCCCCGATAGGGTTTCTGGGGCTGTGGCATACCTGCAAACTTCGTATGTATACAGCCGAGAGGAGTTTGGAGACTTGAGGCGTAAGGTACGGCGATGAAGTCTGAACAGCACCATCTCCCAAAAGTTATCATGTTTGTTTTGTACACGAAAACACAAGGTAATCAGGTATTCTAGTTATGAGCACTTCTCTTGAGACTCTAAGACAAATGTGGGGGGTCTTTGAGGGCTGCTGAAGGAGCTTCGCTTGGTTCCGCTCCCCCGACCCCGCGGTCAATTCCGCTGGGAATCGTTCCAGCCCCGGCTACCTTACGCCGAAAAGTCAGGCCATCGGTTCCGGAATGCTCCTTGTATCGAGCCTAGAAGCTACCTCTTGGGTTCAGCGTCTACCACATCGTACGGTTCATGCAGGCTTGCCTTCATCGACCGACGTCCTGCATCTCAACCACCCAACCGATCAATCACCTTTGCCGCTCGGCCTCGTATTACATGTTTCTTGTATTTGTTGGTCGAGACTGGGCCTTTTTTCGCTATCATAATCCGGCGTGATACTGAACGGTGACGATGGCCGATGCGTATAAATGATGGCAGCGGTTCCTTCCTGCTTTGCACTGATTGATCCACACCAGTGATATCATCATCCTTCCCTCCTCGGCACACACCCACACTTCACACACACTATATACACACACACACACACACACACACACACACACACACACACACACACACACACACACACACACACACACACTAGCTTCGCAAAGTTTACAGAATCACAATGGGCGAATTTGAGATCCCAACCGAGCAATGGGCTCAAGTGGTTGAGAAGTCGGGTGGCCGTACGCCATACTCCCTCCCTAGATTGTGTATAACCCATCCCGCCACCTCATATCCTAACATCACCAACAGCCGTGTCGTACAAGAAGATCCCCGTCCAGAAGCCCGGCCCGGATGAAGTCCTCGTCAACGTCAAGTACTCGGGCGTCTGCCACACCGACCTGCACGCCATGATGGGCGACTGGCCGCTCGAGACCAAGCTGCCCCTCGTCGGCGGGCACGAGGGCGCGGGCGTGGTGGTGGCCAAGGGCGAGCTGGTGACCGACCTCGAGCTGGGCGACCACGCCGGCATCAAGTGGCTCAACGGCAGCTGCCTGGCCTGCAGCTTCTGCATGCAGGCCGACGAGCCGCTCTGCCCCAAGGCCCTGCTGTCGGGCTACACCGTCGACGGCACCTTCCAGCAGTACGCCGTGGCCAAGGCCGCCCACGTCGCGCGCATCCCCAAGGACTGCGACCTCGAGGCCGTCGCCCCCGTCCTCTGCGCCGGCATCACCGTGTACAAGGGCCTGAAGGAATCGGGCGTGCGCCCCGGCCAGTACGTCGCCATCGTCGGCGCGGGCGGCGGGCTGGGCAGCATGGCGATCCAGTACGCGCGCGCCATGGGCCTGAACGTGGTGGCCATCGACGGCGGCGAGGAGAAGGGCAAGAGCTGCAAGGACCTCGGCGCGAGCGCCTACGTCGATTACACGACCAGCGTCGGCGACGACTTCGTGCGCGACGTCCGCGCGGCGTCCGGCCCCGACGGCCTCGGCCCCCACGCCGTGCTGCTGCTGGCCGTCGCCGAGAAGCCGTTCCAGCAGGCCACGCAGTATGTGCGCAGCCGCGGCTCCGTCGTCTGCATCGGCCTGCCGGCTGGTGCCAAGCTCAGCGCCCCCGTGTTTGATACGGTCGTGCGTATGCTCACCATCAAGGGGAGCTATGTTGGCAACCGGCAGGACACGCAGGAAGCGCTGGACTTTTACAACCGCGGCCTGATTAGGGTGCCGTGCAAGACGGTGGGCATGAGCGAGCTGCAGAATGTGTACCAGCTGATGCGTGAGGGCAAGATCGTGGGCCGGTATGTGGTCGATACTAGCAAGTGAAAAAGGAAAGGTATGAAGGCGTTTGGGCGGCGAGGTGTTCTGGCAAACGGGGTGATATGGCTTTTGTATTTGATGATGATGACTTGGGCAGGTGGGCGAGCGGGTGGTGTAGCCGGTATCTGGTTTGGCATTAACTAGTTCAATGAATAATCGAGAAATTTCACCTTTCCGTATCCCATCACCTGAGTTGATAATGCATTTCAAGGTACAATACTACACGCTACACGTAAATGCTGAACTGAACTCCCCTCTCACAACGCCTACACTCCACCCCCCTCTTACCCCTTCCCACCATGCATGAGTCCTCAAACAACATACCCCCCACTATTAACCTGCCTCGGCTCCCCCACCGCATCAAACCTCCCATCCCAAAACCGCATCACCCCCTGCACCGCGCTCAGCCCCGGCGCCATATACTCAATCTCATGGCCCTTCCCCTCCAAACTCGCCACCACCGCCGCATCGTACCCCTCCTCCACGCGCAGCACATGGGGCAGCAGCTGGTGGTGCAGGCGCGGCGCGGCCACGGCGTCGTGCAGGCTCATGCCGCGCGCCAGGATTTTCGCCTCCGTCCCCGTCCTCCCCCTAATGCCGCGCAACCGGCCAGTCGCACCCATCGCGAGCAACATCGTGTCCTCTCCCCGCGTGCTCTCTTATGACGGGCGAGATGGATGATAATGGGCGCTCTCCCGAGCACAATGTAGTTTCGGCCGAGCGCCATAAGCCCAAGGCGTTGCGTCTGCCGGGTTGCGAGAAGTCGTCCATTTCGTTGTTTCTGGATTTGGGGGAGTGGGGTGGTTAGTTAGCTGCCCGAGGGTGCTGGGTGGTTGCGGAAGGCGGGGGGAGCGAGTTGTGTGCTTACAGGATGATGCCTGTGTCGGGCGTCATGATTTGGGCGCCAAAGAGGAGGTTGATGGTGGTTGTGGATGAGATAGTTAAGCCGGACTCGTCGGAGGCGACGACGTGCGAGGTGCCATGGCTGTCGGGGACGAAAAGGGACAGCGGGTCGTAAGCTTCCACTGGCTGCGTTCTGTCGTCGAAGATGCGGCTGCGGATGTCCTCGGCTGTGTCGTCGCTCAGCAGGAAGGCCTCAATTTGCGAAGCGTTCTTTACGAATGCCGGGTCGCCGAGTTCTAGACGTGCTGCGTAGGCAAACTTCATGGCCTCGACGAAACGGTGGGTGGTCAGGTTGATGTCGGCGAGGTCTTCCGGCGCGTATTGCTGCATTGTTTTGAACATGCTGAAGGTGACGGCGCCGCTGCTAGGGGCTTCCGTGGCAAAAAGCCTGTAGTCACCGTACGTGATGTTAAGAGCTGGCTTCACATTGACGGTATACGCGTCGAGATCTTCCATGGTCACGATCCCGTTCATCTCTTGGATGTAGCTGACCATGGACTCGGCTTTTGCGGCCAGGTCAGTGGACGGCTTAACCCTATGACGCAGAGCTAACTCACCGATCTCCCCTTTGTAAAAGACATCGATCCCTTGATTGGCAATCTTCTCCAATGAGCTGGAAATGGTTAGTAAACGTAAATCATGGCGGACATGGATCACTTACTCGGCGAGGCGTTTCCTTGTGATAGTGTCCCCGAGTTGGAGAAGAGTGCCTGTGAATTAGTGTTAATGATATTCATTACTTATGAGTCTGCCTTCTCACCATTGGGGGCAAAATCCTCAGCCCAGATCGGGTCGTCGACCAAGAATGTGTTGTTATCCGCGCTGGCATTTTCCATGTAGTGGACCAGGTCCTCGGTGACTTTAGGCGCCGTGTAAGCTCGACTGGTTTTGTCAAGGGCGTTGCGAACTGATATTTACCCTTAAAGCCCTCTCGAGCAACGCGTACGGCAGGCATGACGAGCGTTTTCCAAGGGAGCGTCTAGCAGATGGTTAGCCTCTTAGGGGCTCGGTTCGTAAGAGTGTGGTTACTGACGCCATATTTTCGGTGCAAGTGATCCAGCCCCTTAAGCTCACTCGGTACAGCGACGGCCAGGCCGCCATAGACACTGGCGTTTTGGTCGTGCTTATACATGTCTTGGCTCGCGGCCGCCGGGGCGGTCTCTCTGTAGTCGATAGTTTCGTAATTCCCATTCTTGTCACGGACGAGCATAAAGCCGCCACCGCCAATGCCGGAGTGGTACATGCCGATGACGCCTACGCACAAGGTGGTGGACACCATGGCGTCGGCGGCAGACCCCTGGCTGGCTATTAGTTGCATGTCAAGAAGGCGAGGAACAAGGAATTCTCACGCCCATCGCAATGGTATCCCTTCCGATCTTGGAGCATATGGCACTTTCGCTAGCCACAGCTCCTCTACGACCTGCAGGATCGGTGTGTATGGTGACGATCCCCTGGCTAGAGACTGGGAATGCCAAACCAGGGGCGAGCTGTGAAAGGAGTGGCAGCCAACATGGCAGCAATAATGGGCGACCTATATCAACGGTTAGATTGGCTAATTTGGCGCATAGTCGTGTCTCGTCACTTGATCACGACGGAGACTCACGCATGGTGTCGGGCAATGTCTAAACCCCCGAGAGGCCGGATCTCGGTATTCCGATATCCGCGACAACTCCAACACGGGAGAGTGGAAGCAGGTAAAAAACTAACAAGAATGAAGAACGAAACAAGAACAAAAGATGGCAATAAAACAAACAAACGAATTCGAAAAGCAACTTGACCGCCCCTTCGGAGGAGGACTCTTGCTCGAGGTTAGTTAGATGGCGGTAAATGAATGTCAATGATCAGCCACCAAGGAGTGGAGAGATAGGTAGTTCCCTGCCTGGCCCCCGAGACACTATTGAGTTGACATGCAAGAGCCAAAGATAACCCAACCCTAACCCACCAGGGTCTCCCGCTTTTAACCGTTTAAAGCACCATCATCTGACTTTTTGATCACACGCTCCCTCGAAGCCTTTCTTCTCACCTATCAGCGTGATAATGAGAAGCCATATTGCTAAGAGATGAGTTGGCTCGATATTTAATATGTGCTGGTTGAAGCAATCAGTGGCCTCATAAGTCACAGGTTGACCATGCCGCCGTTGAATGAATTGAAGTCGGCCTGCAGCTGATCAGCAGGCTCAAGTGCCCCATTCGAGTGCGCCAGTTCATCCGACAACCGAGCACAGACATGATTTTCACGGCGTGGCTTGTGGAGTTTCACCTGAAAGAGCGGGAGTTGTTGGGACGAAGTCGATGAATGGCTCCACGATCCAACAGATCGGCGCCATCGCTAACTGACTCAGGCACAAGAGAGTTGAGAGGAGACATTGCCGAGCCAAAAGGATACAAGGAACTCCTCTGTAGTTAGGCTAGTATTCGTAGTTATGTCGAATGCATCTGCGCTGCGCCGCCGTTACCTGGCCCGAGCCGATGCTTCCGGGCTGCCGACTTGCGCCCGGGCTTTCCGTCTGCTTTGTTTCTTTGGTCCTAACTAATAGTTAAATGACGCTTGGATAGCAACGAGTTATCCGTCCGTTTCTTGTGTGATATGAGATACCAAAAATAGGCTTGCTTTGCATGCCCTTGCACAATGCCCAGTGCTCGAATGATGAGCGGATCTACCAAACACCAATATTCATACACAGTAATTACCCAAATCCGAGATCCTGCGAGTCCTTGCGAAAAGCCTTGACCAAGATTAGTCCATGGCGCTGCCGCAATGGTCCCCGCCGAAGTTCCGGGCTTTGGCGGTTTCGCATTGAGGACTGCGCAATGTGTGGATCTTTGACGGGAGGCGGGCCAATCACCGCTGGTCCCGACGGCAGGGTACGATTTCAGGTTGAAGCGGGGCTGCAAAGGTGAAACTCTCCCATTTCCACATTTCCACATCATCCCTGATAATTTTCCAGAGCGCACCATATTTCATGGGGAATCGATCGAACTCGGTTGCGGGCTTTTCCACGGTGGATATAACATAACTAACTTTTTGCTTCGTACCGAAAGCCCGGACAATCCGAGACCGAGCCAGGCGAACTCGTTGGCGACAGTTATGCTTACTGTGTTGTGCGTGCCGCCATGTGTGCACTCGCTGTCGTGTTGAGAACCTAGTCGACGAAGTTGACCCCAAATGCCGACGTCGCATTTCACTTCTCCCTCGCTCGAACCACGAAACAAAAACCGTGCTTCGTTGTTGCGCATGAAAACACAGCCGAGTTTCGGCATAACAGCAAAAGCTTAACTCACCACTCGGCACAGTGCAACCGGGCTCTTGGTTGTCATCAGCCAGGTACGTCAGGGACCAAACGGTTTTCCGATTTTCCGATTTTCTGCATCCCGGCCACACCGTGGATCACAGCGCCCATCATCGAAGAAACACGCGGATCGTTAGGCATGGGGATCGTTGATCGATCTGTCAGTGTGGTTATGCGCCTAGCTAGCCCTCGAATTGTTTATCATGCAAGCAAGCAAGCTGCTCAAACTGGACAGCGCCGTACGGACTGGCTGCACTTCCACTTTCGTCGCAAGCTCGGCTCGCACCCATATCACAGTAGGGGAGGGAGGGATACCTAACTATTGCCAGGGACAAGTTCAAACGTTCTGGCCGGCTTCTGGGCTTTTTGGTGTCTGGGTTGTTAAAGTTCCCAGTTGTTCCCCTAGCATGCCCCCTCACTGGCCCCTCAACGGCCCCTTTACCGGATTCGTGTGCCGCCCAAGTCGGCGATTGGCTGGCCAGCCGTCTCAGATTCATCGTTCCTGCATATGCCCCCCCTGACAGGGCTGGGCAACCCCCTTGTCCCACCGAAGAACCACTCCTAGATTACCAGAGCCGCCCTCTGTTTCTCCGTGCTCTTGTGGGTCTTGCAGACAGCCCACCACCGTCAACGTGGTCCCGATGTTTACGCTTGTCCTCCCCCCCCCCCTGTGGAGGATCCCGTTGATTAAGGGCCGCAGGCCGTGACACCCAGCTGGATGTGAGTGATGCAATGGAGCGATATGGGGCCGCCGAGGCGGCTATGCCCCTGCTTCTCCTTCCATGCTCCCTGTCGCTCTGTGGACGTGCTATGGATCCCCCTCAGACCATCGAATGCTCTGGACGCCACGGAGACGGAATGCTACACTCATAAAGCTCCGGGAGGACGCCGAGGTTCGAGGACTGTCTCGTCTTCCTCCCCCTTCTCTCCTCACGACTCCTTCCGTTCATCTTGGCATTAGTGCTGTCTTTCTTTCATTAGTCCCAAGCATCATTCCTTTTGCTTGCTGGCTCGTCAACTTTCGCTTCCCAGCTTCTCACTGTATCTACATTCTCTTTCAACGCGAGCAACTGTGTTTGCCTGCCTCTTGCGAAGTTGACTTTCGCTCTTTTCACTCTTGGATCACACTCACTTGGCCTGGCGCTCATTGATATCCACCAAAACAACACGAACATACTACGAAACAAACACTCAGCACCGCCAACATGAAGGCCGCCTATATCACCCTCGGCCTGTTCGCTACCCTCACCTCTGCCTACTCCAGAAGGCATCCCCGTTACATGCGTCTTGGGAGACACAACAACGGAACTGCCGGCATCATTGTGGCTCCTGGGGATGATGCTGCGGCCGTCTCTGACACAGTGACAATTCCTTTGTCTACTGGTGTCGCCACTGCTGCTCCTCTCCCGACCAACGGCACGGCTGGTGCCGTCACCACGTTGACTGTGTCGACCACTTCGGTCCGCACCGTCACCTCGTGTCTCCCTATCGTCACCGACTGCCCTGCTAAGACGGAGGACCTCGCCAACCTCCCCACCGAGTCTCTCAGCACCGCTACCGTCACTGACACTATCATCCTTACCGAGACTGTCTGCCCCGTGACCGCCGTGCCCTCCATCTCGTCCAGTGTTCTCGATGATGCCTCCAAGGGCCTCATCACTGGCAGCACCCTGACCGAGTCTGCAACGGCTACGTCGGTCGAGGCGGGCGTGACTACCACTGAGACCAACGCCGCCGTCACCGGGACTGACCCCGCTGCTGTCACCACCCTCACTCTCTCAACCACGTCGATCCGCACTGTTACCTCGTGCCTTCCCGAGGTCATCGACTGCCCGACCAGGACTGAGGACTTCTCCAACTTCCCGAGCGAGGCTCTCAGCACTGCCACCGTCACGGACACCGTCATCCTCACCGAGACCGTTTGCCCCGTGACCGCAGTTCCCTCCATCTCTTCCAGCGTCATGGACGAAGCCTCCAAGGGCCTCATCACCGGCAGCACCGTCACCGTCACCGCCACTGCCCCGGCCCAGGTCTCCACTGCCACCGAGACCAAGGTCATGACCCTCACCCAGACCAAGGTCGTCACCGTCACCATGGGCGGCGGCAAGGTCGTCACCACTGCTGTCGAGTCCACCGTCGAGTCCACCACCGTCGAGGTCGTCACCCACACCAAGGAGGCTCCCAACCCGGCCGTGACTCCCCCCGCCGGCGGCGAGAAGGACACCACCACCACCGAGACCATCACCTCGACCGGCACCCGCACCGTCACCGTCAAGAAGCCCGCGACCACCACCGTCGGCGTCAAGCCCGGCAGCGGCAACGGAAACGGCAACGGCAACAACGACGCCTGCAACTGCGACGCGGCCGCCCCCGCTGAGAAGACGGTAACCGTAACCAAGGAAGCCGTCACCGTCACCGCCGCCGCCCCCGCATCCACCGTCTTCGTGACGGTCGCCGACTGCGCGGCCACCACCGACGTGCCCGCCCCCACCGCTGCCGAAGGCGGCAACGGCAAGGGCAACAACAAGGGCGACAAGACCAGCGCCGCGCCCGCGGCCACCTCCTCCGCCGCCCTCGGCAGCGGCGAGTCCGGCGCCGGCATCATCGTGGACGACGACAACAACAGCGGCGAGGGCTCCGACGCCGAGGAGAGCGCGTGCCCGCCGGACGAGGTCGTCACCGTGACCTCGACCAGCGGCGCCGACGCCGGCGAGGCCACTGCCACTGCCACTGCCACTGCTACTGCCACGGCGTCGGCCGCACCGGGGGCGGGTGAGGGGAGCAACTCCGGTGAGGGTGAGGGTGAGGATGATACCTGCCCGGAGGACGAGGTGGTTACCGTGACGGCGACGCCTAGTGCTGCGCCCTCGGGGTTGTAAAGTGTGAAGGGGTTTGATTGAGGATGGGGTGGATTGGGTTGGATTAGACTAGGGAGGGGTGGTTTTCTTGTTTATGTTAGAGGAGGATGGAAAGGGGGGGTTAGGGGGGAAACTGTTTGAGCACAGATTTTTTCTTGGGACCTCGCCCTCGGCTGCGTCTTCGTTTCTTGTACAATGTCATCATATTCCTGTGAAATTTCAGCGTATTTTCTAGACTTTGCGTTCAGTTTGCGTGACTTGATGTTTTCCTGTCTCTTGTGGCTTTGGTTATTGGAGTTGCTTGGGTAGAGCTGGTACGAAATAGTGCTACAACCCAGTCGGCAGTTCAGACTGTTCTCGGTTACAGCACCAGGCGTGGTTGAAACCCGGTTGCGACCGCTCCTTAGATTAGAAAGTAAAGAAATACCTGGTTGATTGAAGGGGGTTTCATTTCGTACCCCCGCGAGTCTGAACCAGCCGAGCTCAACCGGCAGTACACAATGGGGCGCCACCTATATAACCCGGAAGGAATATCAAGCCACAGCCTCACGGTTATGAATGCCAAGTTGGTTACTCCGGTGCCATGCCACTGATTTCTTCTATGGGACGCAGCCTTGGTTTCCCTATAGTCTGTGATTCAACTGCTCTCCGTTACTACAACACCAACAAGCAGCTTCTTTCTCTATGAAGACCTTCCTATCGAAGTGATACACCGCCCAAGAGTTTGTTAGTGATACACTACCCGCCGCTCCCTATGCGTCCCAGGCCCGCCTTCCATATTTCATGCGTTCCCACACTATCGTGCCCTAAAAACGGCAAACGACCTCCTAGCTATATACACACGCACCTTCAAAGGGATATACGTCGTATCCCTTGTGCAAACACGAGCCTCCCTTCACCATAATTGGACTTCCCTCTTATTCCTCTCTATTGGCCATCACCTACTGCGCCCGACCCCGGACACGACTCATCCCCATCACCGTCCGCCCGCAGCCAGGATGCCTACTCCCCGCTGGTCAGCTCCTTAACCCGCCTCTCAATCTCGGGCACGCCCCTGAGCAACACCTCGAGCTCCTCCTTCTCGTCCTCCAGCGCCATACGTTTCTCCGGATCGAGCCGGCTGAACACGTAGTGGCCCTGGCCGTCGAACTGCAGGATGTGGGTGTGGTACTTCCATAGGCTGCGGCGGTGGCTGACGGTCATGAGGGTGATGCCCAGCTCCTTGGCGGTGTCGTACATGACCTTTTCCGTCTCGAGCGTCACGCTGCTGGTGCACTCGTCGAGGATGGCGTAGCGGGGCTGGTGGTAGAAGAGGCGCGCCATGGCCACGCGCTGCTGCAGACCGCCCGAGAGCACGTCCTTCCACTCGGCCTCGGCATCCCAGCCGCCGGGGTAGACCTCGAGCAGGTGCTCGAGCGACAGGATGCGGAGGATGGCGTGCAGGTCGTCGTCCGTGACGCCCTTGTTAACCATGGTGCTCAGGCCGTCCGGGTAGATGAACTGTTGGCGGAGCGTGCCGCTCGAGAGGTAGGGCCGCTGCGGGATGTAGAAGATCTCGTGGAAGGGCGGCTTGTGGACGGTGCCGCCGTACACGGGCCACAGGCCGCCGAGGATGCGGAAGAGAGAGGATTTGCCGCAGCCGTTGGGGCCGACGACCAGAAGGTGATCGCCTTGCTGAAGAGAGAAGGATAGCGCCGGGACGAGCACGTCGCCGTTGGGGGAGATGATAGGTACGTCGGTGAATTTGATGTCTTTGCTGGGGATGATCTTGCCACGGCCCTTGAGCACGGCGGCGTTGGCCTCTGTGTCGGAGCTCGAGACGAGCTTCTTGGAGAAATTGCCTGCTTGCACATCGTCCATCACTTCGAGGAGCGAGGAGACGCGTGAGGTGTATCCAGCGAGCTCCATGACTTCCTTGTACGAAAACATGAGGCGGCCGAAGGCGTCCGAGGCCCCGAGAAGCATCCGCCGGTTGGTCACGAAGCTCTCTGTCCGGTCACCCATGTTGGAGACGACCTGGCCGGGCAGCTTGACGAACACGGGGAGACCGCAGAGAATCAAACCTAGGGCGCCCCAGATATACTTGACAACATAGTCCTCCATGAAGCCGTGGTAGAAGCGCTTCCGCAGGAGATAGTTGATGTGCTTGATCAGCGTAAAGTAGCCCTTGTCGAGTGTGTCTTTCTCGGCTGCGTGGCCAGCGTATAGGGCAACCTCCTCACTATGGTTTATCAATCTCGAGTGCTGGAAGCGGAACTCGCCCTCCAACCTCGCCTCATCGGCCACGTATTTGCCAAACGGGGGTGTTAATGCTCGCATCATAGCCGCCGAAAGCTGGACGAGAAGCGACATGAAGACGACCCCTTCTCCACCGACGCTTCGTGAGAGCGAAATCGTGTAGATGGTCTGTTTTTGAGTTAGCCCGTAACATTAGTAAGTAGCCGGGGGGTGGTTAAGGGATTCTCACCATATCAAGGATCGGTTTTGCCAGATTGCTGTAGAGTTCTGCCAAGTTGTTGGAGAACTTGGTTACATCTACGGCAATTAGTTGGTCAGCATTCTTGACCCTGTCGTCAAGGGCCGAGATTCCGTAGAATGTCAACTTTGACAGATATTTATCGTGGATATACTCGGTCAACCGTGTCCGGTACCTCAGGGCGAGTTCGGACTGGTGGTACGCCAACATGGAGTTGGTGAAGGTCGCCGGCACAGCGATCAGCATCCACCACATGATGCGCTTCAAGAACTCGCGCCCATTCCCCTTGATCAGGGCTTTCACAATGGCGCCGTCCATAGCCGCCACCTTTAGACTGATTACTGTCCGCAGGATCAGAAAGATGCTGTGGCTGATGAGGTATTGTGTCTCCCTAGTCCGCCACCCGGGAATGACAATCCGGAGCAGCTTCATCAACGAGCGAAAGAACTCGCGATTCAGCTCGACCTTTTTCTTTTTGCCCTCATCGTCCACCTCAGATATCGATGTGCTGCGGGCTTTCTCAGCGCGCTTTTCGGCTTCGCGGGCCGAGGCCCCTCTCTGATCGGCGATGGCGTTGCGAATTCGGTGGAGGAGGGCTAGGAATAGGGTGATGTAGACGGCGCGGGAGATGCGCGTGCGGTTGCGCAGGTACATGGTCATGAGTTGGAGGATGATGCCGCGAACTGTGCGGGCGCGCGCCGCGACGCCGCTCAGTACCGGCTTCGACAGCGACGGCGCCATTGCGTATGATGGCGACAGGAGACGGCGACAAGCAGGAAAAGGAGACGGGTCACGGCCGCGCGGCGGCGATCATCGGGAGAACGGTTCGGCGCGTCGAGGTGTCGAACGGAGTACGAAGTAGTACGACGAGAGCGGGATGAGACGAGTTGAGAGTTGAAGTGGGTAGTGGATGATGGTCGGGGATTGTTCGGATGGAAAGTAAGTTGACACTTCTCGATACCCTAATTACTCCTGCTGGCCGTCTATATTTGTTGCAGTCGTTTCGCGGAAGGGGGATAATTCCTGTCGTGCTTTGGCAGATAGCCAGGAATCGGAATCCGGAATTGTGGTGGTTCCTCTTCTGGCCTGTCCTTTGCTCGTTCCTCGGTCCTTGCGTCACCCACTTGCTGGAATGGGCAAGCAGGTCCGGGGTAGCCAAGACTTAACTGCTCGCATGTGATTGTCCTTCGGGGGCTCTTCTCTTCAGTGGCTGACAGGCAATCTCCGGACAGAGGGCTGTGGAGTGGCACAGAGTGGGCGTTCTGGGCTCGGCTTGGCAATGCCGCAATTCATCAAGCCCATCTGCAACCCATCCGTCATCGACCAGTTCCACCCGCACAGCACAGGCAACCATCGGCGGGCACTCGGAGCCCGGAGCCGGATCATTGACTTAGACAAGTCCGGACCTGACCGGGTTATCACGGAGGGCAGATGCTGGCGGTGAACTCACGATAACGATCACAATGGCATCACCCACCACCGTAATGCTCCGTGTATTTTCCATCGTCTTTCTCTTTTTTACTTCTGTCCTCGCCAACACGGAGAAGACCATCTTCCTCGGCCCGGAACCCGTCACCATCCCTCTCACCCACCCAACCCTCTCCGACCTCCGCCTGCACACCCTCACACCCGCACCCGCCAACGGGACCCTCCGGACCCAACTCCCCGCCCAGTTCCCCTCCCCCGAACACCCCGAGGGGACAGTGACATGGCTCCTCCTCGACAACCTCGCCCCCCACCAGCGTTATGAAGTGCGGGTCTGCTGGGCAGCCACGGTAAGCTACACCACCATTTCCATGGGGCAGTTCCGCCGCCTAGTGATCTAACCCCCCTACCCCAGCAACCAACGGCCTTCACCCTCACCACCTTCCCGCTCTCCACAGTATGGGACACGCCCTCGCTCATCACCTCCCTGCACGCCTACACCGCCGCACAGCAGCAACTACAACAACCCCCACCCAAAGCAGACGACAGCACCAGCAGCACCACCACCACCACCAGCACAGACAGCAGCGAAGAGCAGAAGGAAGCCTCCCTCCTCCTCCTGCGAATCGCCGCGGCCGCCGACTATTTCACGACCAACGCGTCGCTGATGCGGGAGGTGCCGCCCGTCGACGTGGACATCATCCTGGACCCGTTCCTGTTCAACGCAGTGCCGCGCTCCCTCGTAGGTACGGCGTGCTTCATTGTTGCGGTGGCCGTGGTGGCGTTCTTCGTGGCGAGGTGGGCGGCGGCGCGGATTCAGGGGTTGGTGGTTGCTAGTGGTGGTGGTGGGTGGGAAGGGGCCGTCAAGAAGAGGCAGTGATGGAGGGGGTGTTGGTTGGGTTGGGCAGGGAGACCTGCTCGCTGTAATGGTACTTCACGCCGAGTAAGATGGATATTCTATCCTTTGGTACGACAGATAAATCGCTTAACGTACAAATGTAATATGAACCTAATTGACAAACCAGCGCACCTAAATTCTAACGTTTGGGGTTATTGGATCCCAGTTTAACCCCCCTGATTGTTCGCACTTGTCTCCTCCCCTTCCGCCCTCCTTCTTGGCCCACGATCTGGGTTCGGTTAGAGGTATAGCTCCCATGGTGGAGGAGCTATGGAGTTGTGGTTCCGTAACTAACGAGCAACAGTCGTGGCGCGCTCCCGCTGATCATGAACCCGAGGGCACAACTCCTTCCCCCAAAAGTAAGCCAGGTTGCGGTCCGTATTACTTCGCTCTTCGAATTGTTGCCGTGATGTCTCCCACCCCTCCGACCCATCCGCCGTCCGCTCCCTCTAGTTCACCGGCTCCCTAGGCGTGACCGACTTTGTCCGAGAAGGGTCCTTCAAGAACCAAGTCATTTGCTTCAGCTCGGCGGTGTCCATGATCGTGAAAGGCTAGGAAAACTAGGCCTCCACCTCCAACCTAGTGAACCGCACAGTGATAGAAACGGCAATCCTCTCCCTCCGACTCGATAGACCTTAACCGAATTGGGGTATGGGAGAACCGGGTCTCTGCCTCTTAACATGACGGACCCTACGACAGTGGAAATTCGGAAAGGCAGCCTTCTCGGTCTGGTGAGTGACCTAGACTACTTTGCCTCTCTGGCTTCTGTACTCGATCCACACTACCCTCCCGCATCGTCGCGCTTCTCGGTTTGGCCGGCTTCTGTAGCGCAGTGGACTGAGATATTCGGCTGGGGCCGGAGACAATGGATTCTCCCTTTTCCGCAATTGAGATTGACCATCCTGTTCGAACATTACCCGCGCCGCGGCAAGCCCTCTGCCGCTAGTAACAACGACTACCTGCGCTCTTCTGCCGTCTCACGCTGCTCCCTCCTCCAGAGTTGTCAGCGCCTCCTGTTGTGTGGGGGGTTGAGGGAATGAGTCCCCTTTCTCTCGTGTTTGGTAATGGCTAAACCCCCCATCCGATTCCCGCTCCGTCCTCTCTCGTCGATCCCACTGCCACGTCAACCCCCTTCTCTGTTCAACTATCCCCAACGTCGTGATAGGTCTTAACTGAGTAGGAGCCTCGGGTAACCGGTCATTGCCATCCTCCTAGTGATATTGGCCGCTGCCGCCATACCCCTGATGGTGCCCGCCCGAAGCGTATTGCGGCTGCGAAGGGTATCCAGAATGCCCGCCACCAGAGCCACCGCTGGAATACTGGGGTTGGGAGTAATGCGATTGGTTGTGTTGACCGTAGGCGCCGGGTACAGCGGGAGGGGCACCGTAGGATGGCGGTCCGTAGGATTGGGACTGGCCATGTGGCGAAGCGCCGTAGCTTTGGTTGTGTGACGACGGGCCGCTGGTGCTGTACGACGAGGTGTACTGAGATGACGGGGCGTGATGCTGGCTTGAAGACTGATACGAAGACGCACTACCGTAATGAGACGGGGTGGTTCCGGGTTGTGAGGGTGGTTGGTACGAAGTCGGCGGGGCCGGTGCGCTGTACCCGCCTGTCTGGCCGTTATTCGAGTAACCGAAGTTGTTTTGGCCCTGTCGCGCCGTTAGCTTTTTGTGGTGGCACTTCAGAGTTTTGAACCTTACCGAGCCATGGGGCTTCCCGCCAAACATATTAGCGACGCCTCCGACGATACCCCCGAGACCACCGCCTGAAGAGTGTCCGGATGACTGCCCACCATGGTAGTTCTGGGGCTGCGACGATGGCTTGCCGCTGGAGAACAGGTTAGAAGCCAGCTGCGAGGCAAGTTTCCCGCCAATGCCGCCGCCACCGCCACTGCTGTGTCCTCCACCAGAACCGCCAGAAGAGAGAAGTCCAGACACTAGCTGTCCAGCAACTCCGCCAACACCGCCGCCGCCTCCATGAGATCCGCCGCCTTGTTTACCGCCGAGCGAGCTGAGCGTATTTCCGAGGAAGGACTGTAACAGGCAGAGGGTCAGCATCAGTAAATGATGTAGCGCAGAAAAGGGGGAAAGAAGGATCGAATCGAATGCGAACAAAAAGAACAGAACGGAAAAGAAAGGGGACGACGGTAATAACATACTCCAAGACCCCTATCCCCATCCCCGCCACCTATCCCCCTCGTCCCGCTGGTATAGTCGTCCTCGCGCGGGTGCACAGGCTCGAGCCGCCCGTCGGGATACCTCGCGGTCCGGCTGCCGTCAGGATGCACGATGATCTCGGCACCGCCGTTGGCGCCATGGGGCACGCCGTAGGGGTGATCGCTGCGTGCGGCGGGGGTGCCGCCGACGGGGGCAGCCTCGGTGGGTGTATCCCATTGCGACGCGCCCGTTGATAACTGAACGAAATAGTACTTTTTGGACGAGGCGTCCCACTGGGCAATCCAACCGGCGGGAAGCGGTGGAGGCCCAAAGGTTGGCCCGTCGCTGCCGGGAGAAGGAGGGCCGGCCATGGAGATGGTCGTTCGATAATTTGGATTGAGTGTGGAGTGGTTGTTTCGAAAGAGGTGGTGAGAAGGTTGACTTTTTGTCACGGTGCTGCACTTCTGTTCCGTGCTGATAAAGAAAAAGGCGGCTACGGAAGGGTGAGTAAGGATTGCTGTGTCGAGCAGTGCAGTGGTGCGAGCTGAACCGGGTGTGGCGCGGGGCGACCAGGTCACCTATGGAGGGGGCGGGGCAGTTTTGCAAATCGGACAGGAGGTCTTGCCATGGATAGACGGTGATCACCTTCTGCTGAAGTTGGCCTAGCACGCCGATATGAGTTGTTTCTTGATTGACTGGCGAGGCAATAAGAGCGGGGAAACTAATCGCATTCACATAAGATCCATCACAAAACGCAAACACAAAAGTCAAATGCGTCGTTTTCCAATCCTCCCTGTCTCACAAATTGTGAGGGAGCCAACGACGGCGTCTTCCGTTGTCAGTTTTCAGCAGAACACCCGACACCCCGACAGTGTTGACATCAGCAGCCCTTGCGGGACACCTCACCGGCGACCGAAATGCGGTAAAGTATCCGCCCGCCCTACCAAGCCATCATCAATAGCGCAACCACGTTACAAGTCAAACCCGCCCACCGCGCATGGCCTCCCCTAACAAGGGAAAGCCGGTCTCACATAAGTTCCTTCTTGACGGAAATGACCAATCCAAACGAGACATCCAGCCCCGAAGCGACGGCCCCAAAGGGCCCCAGCACACATTCCCTAGATGAAGCGACGCAGGCCGCTGGTTCGCGTCCTCCTCCTAACTGCCCGATCGGGCCCGTGATGCCATTGGCCACACTAGGTTGCTCATGCGTCCGGCACCCCATTGGTTTGCCGGGGTTGAACGGTCAACAAGAGTACGGGAGGCAGCCCATCAAGTTATAGCCTACCCACCCATGCCCGTTTCGATATTGATGCACAAGCCTGAGAACCGAACCGCTGACAAAGTCTCCATGCCGAATGACACCCTCACAAAACAGCAAATCATGTGAAGTACACATGTAGAAGAAAAATAAACCAGAGCTCTATTTGTCTAATCAAAATCCGCACCTCTTCCGTAATGCGTCCCATATGCGAGAGACCCCATGGTGTTGAATCCATGCTGCTCAAATTAGAGCCGACGGCCTCCGACCTCCCAAGCGACCACCGACCACGCAGCGCAGCGCGTGGAAATTCCTAAATGCCCCTGTGATCCGAAATGCAACGCTCGCTCACATTCCCCTCCTGCGCCATCGCCGTCTATCACAAAATGAGCATCCCCCCAAAATCACACACCCAACTCATTCCGAGGCCCCTGTACTTCCGCCGCCGCCATTAGCAACCCCATTTCCGTCCTTGACCGCTACTTCCACTACCTTCTCCCGAAGCGCGTCGCCACTCGTTGTTGTTGTTGTTGTTGTTGTTGTTGTTGTTGTTGTTGTTGTTGTTGTTGTTGTTGTTGTTGTTGTTGTTGTTGGTGCCGTTGCTTCCCGGCCGCCCGTCAGACCCTTCCGGATGGCCAGGACGCTGTCGACAATGACGGCGTCGATACCCTCCTTTACTTGGCGCTGTGGATTGCGTTAGCAATAATACGAGAAGAAAAAGGGGAAAGGGAACATACCTGCACGAGCTTGGGCTCGTTATTCAACACGCCATAACTGACGCACACCAGCCCATTCTGCTTCACGACCTTGACCAGGCGCGGGGAGTTAACAAAGGGCTCCGAGTTGCTCACGATGCCGAGCAGGTTCCAGCGGGACGCAAAACGAATCGCCTCCTGCAGGCTGCTGGCGCGGATGTCCCCCACGGGGCTGGTGCCGGCGTCGGTGAGGAACAGGATGGGGATGTTGGGCTGCTTGAAGCTCAGGCACAGGCAGATGTCCGGGTTGAACGAGCTGAAGATGACATGCCTGGCCCCGCCGCCGCCCGCGCCCTCTTCTGTCTTGCCTGCGCCCGCGCCGAGATCGAGGTGGTCGTAGACCTTGGCCAGGACGGTGTCGCAGAACGAGTTGACTTCGACCGCGTACGTGTCCATGTCGTGCTCCTCGCTCTCGTGCAGCATCGGGTACTTGAGTTCGATGTTGAACCCGACCGACGTGGGGAGCTTGTGGAAGAGGTCCTCGAGCGTCGCGAAGGGCGCCTGGATGAAGTTGCCACGCGAATTGGCCTTGAAGCCCTTAGCCTTGAAGTCGCGGGTGTGTTTCATCCGCTCATCCATGTCGTGGTGCTTGCTGAGCTGCTGATGGCCTGCCGCCGGCCAGTCCATCGACATGGACCGCTGCCGCGGACCCGGGCTGTTGCTCCGTGTCTTGTTGATTTGTTTGTGCTGGGGCAGGGGGGGGTGGCCGCCGTCGCCGCTGCCACCGCTGCTGCTGCCACCTTTGTGGCGGGAGGAGTCGGGGTTAATATGCAGGAATTGTTCGAGCGTGAGGGTGTGGACGGGCGCGTCGAAGCCTGTCTCGCTCACGAGAAAGTCGTGGTAGATGACGGGCACGTGGTCCTTGGTGAGCTGCACGTCGAACTCGACATATTGTGCGCCGAGGTTGGCGGCCGCGATGAAAGACGGGACGGTGTTCTCGCCTAGTTGCAGGGACCGGTTGGAAACGAGGTTTTTGCCCAGACCACGGTGGCCGATCACCATGGTCGACGTCATCTTCTTCCAGTACGTCTGCTGCTCCGTCACCTCCATGTTGGGGTGCGAAAAGGGCGTGATGACGAGGAAATTGAAGTTAACGGTGCCGATGACATCGAGGTTGGCGCCCACGATCGGAACGCAAAGGTCTCCCTGCAGACTCATCCGCTTGGTGCCGAAAGTCGACCGCACGCTAGACAGCAGCGCGACACCACGCCCGACCTTGTTGTCGTTGTTACCTGAATAGGTCGGGACGATGTCAAAGAGCAGCTTGACCTTGGTGGCATCAGCCGTGGTGAAGACGATCGGCTCGGTCGAGATGTTCTCATGGACGGGCATATCGATGATGGTCGGCTCGCCCACAGCGCCCTGCGCTGACACGACGATGGAGAGAGCCGTATCCAACTGGGTATTGTGGGCTTGTGTGAGGGGTACTTTGTCCAGAGTCACGGCCTCGACATTCTTCCGCATGTCCATCGAACCGAGACTCACAAGCACCAAGCTCTCGTCTCTGAGGTAGCGGTGCCCGAACGACTTGACCGGCTCTGCCGGGCGCGAAGCGCCGTTCGACCTCCTATCGCCAAGGGAGGCAACCTCGCGAGCCACGGGCTCTGCGGTGACTTTCTCGTCGTCGGAGCTGGCCGTGTCTGTATCGCCCTCCTCCCTACTATGCGCAGCCAGGAGGCGTGCAATAACGAGATGTCCCCTCAACGCAGCATGTTCCTTGGCTGTCCAGCCCGACGAGTCCACCTTGTCCACATCGGCGCCGGCATCCACCAGCAGTTGGGCAACGGACGGGTGGCCGTCTACGGCTGCTATGTGCAGCGGTGTCCAGGCGAACGAATTCTCGACCAGCTCCAAGTTCGCTTTCTGCTCCTCCGTCCCCTTCAGCAGAACCTTGGCGCACTCCTCGTGACCAAACCGCGCGGCAATATGCAACGCCGTCTCGCCGTGCTTGTCCTGCCAATTAATATCCACGCCGGCGTCAACCAGCATCTCGACGATTGGCTTGAAATTGGCCTTGGTCGCAATGGCCAAGACGGCGCTGGATTTGGAAACGGCCCGCCTCAATTCGGCCTTGTTGTCGCTCACGCCCTGCCAATCTTCGCCTTGGAGCAAGGCTTTGGTAGTCAGACGATGGCCGCCGAGGACGCTGAGATGCACGGGCGCGTTGCCGTCCTTGTCCTGCCACTCCGGAGCATCGATGCCGTTTTCGACATTAAACTGCCCCCAGTCCTGCATTTTCTTCATCAGAATCTGGCAGACCACGACAAACCCGAACTGAGCAGCGTAGTGTAGCGGGAGCCGACCAAAGCTGTCCTTTGCTCTCAGCGCCGCTCTCTGGTTTGGTTTGAGCCCCTCCAGCAAATAAATCAACGTCTGGACCGCCTCATCATCCTTGGTGAGGAGATCCGACTCCTTAAGACCACAGACCCTCGGGGCGGAAAGAGGCGACGCTGCCGGGGTGAGATAGTTCTGAGCGTATTGCGCCGCACCCGGGAAGGGAAACGTAGCCAAATTCGAGTCTTCCTCGTTCTGAGCCGAGACCGTCTTTGTTCGGCCGATGTGGATCACCAGTCTGTGGATGCAGTTCCGCTCGTTGATGTCATCAGGTTCGTCTAGAGACGTGATGGCATTCAGCAGAAATGCAATGGAGCCCTTTGACCGAGCGGAAATGGATCGTTGCAACACGTTGAGCAGCACTTTCTGCGCGGCCGGTTCCGGGGTCAAGAGGTTCCCGATTGTGAGACCATCGGTTAGGGCATCCACATCATCCTTCCGGGTGGCCTGGTCGAGTTTGTCCAACAATCCAGAGGGGACACTAAGCATGGCTTTCGCCGTTGCCCGCCCAAGGGAAAGAGTCGACCTCTCGGACCCGGCATCATCTACATGATGCCTGTCGCCCAGTACCGAAATCCACTTGTTGATTTCAGCCAGCAGCCTTGCGATAGCTGTGTCCTTGGCAAACGGACAGGGATCGACCTTGGTAGAGATGTAGCGGTGCTGTGTGGTGGTCTGCGTTGCCGTGTTCGGAATCTTCTTGTCAAGCTTCTTGGTGATCTTGACAAACCCGCGGCGGTTGATCTCACCGAACCATTGCAGTTTCCGCAGCTGGCTACGCAGCTCTAGCAAGGCGCCCATCAGCTCCTCAATCTCGTCATCGTCGAGGTTCGCAACAACATCGGGCGAGCTGCCATATCTGTCCTGCAGCACTTTGAGCCTGCGGTAGGCGTCGGCAAACTTTTTGTTGTAGAACGAGTCGACATCTTCCAAGTTCCTATCAAGGTCGAAGAAGAATTCTGGCAGGGACAGTCAGTACACATATGCATGGTGTATAAGCGAGACCTGGCGGTCTCCGATTTGGTGCTGCCTACCAGCCAAGTCGACCTGCTCTCCGTCCTGGGCTGCCCTGACACCAGCCTTGATAAGTTTCTTGAGGCCCTTGTAGTTGATATACGAGCCCGCCCACTCTGGAACTTGATTCCTCGGTAGACTGCACACGCGGGTCAGTCGTTGGGGATCCCAGAGGGGAGATATGGCTCTGTATCAATCTGCGGTATGTACCCACTTTCGACCAAACTTCATGCTGAAGCTGCGTTGAGATGTCGAAGTGCGGGAAAGCGATGCTAATGTGTGTGGGTTGTAAGGAAGAAGAAAAATGAATTATGAGAGATGATCGTAAACAAGTCCACTTTGATAAAACTAGCGGTGCCAAAAAACAAGGATATCTGGATGCGGATAATTGAGCGGTCGGAGGAGGGTCTTGAGGAAGTGACCGGGATGAAACCTGGAACCCGCTGCTTGATGGAAGTTCAGTGGCTGGTCGCCTGCATTCTGAAAGCCACGGTCTATGTGGAAAACCGGAAAACACGGGCAGGCATGCAACGAAGAGGGAGAATCCTTTATCGCCCAGTGCCCTGGCCTCGGAGGTCTGGCAATCGTGAAGAACGCGTTACCGCACTGTGACGCAAACCGAGAGATGAAGGTGCGGCAGCAAAGCAGGGCAGTTGGAGACCTGGGGTTTGCCCGAGGCAACAACAACTGGGAGGTCGAACTACCGGTCTTGCGACCACTAAAAAAAGAACAAAAGGGGGCTTTTCCGTCGAGGGAGTAAGGAATGAATGGGCACGGGGTTCTGGAATAGATGATGTCATAATAGTGATTTGACGAGAAAACGATGTGAGTGAGACCCTGGGCTCTCCGTCTCTCCCGTTTCACAACGGGGACCATATCATGAACCCGGTGGGCAGGGGTATCAATTAAGATACGGGCGGGAGGGTGCGTTAAACGCCTCATGATACCAATATATCCCAAGTACAGGTACATTCCTCTTGTTTCCGCGACCCTGGCGGCGACTCAACTGTTTTCTGTGACCTCAAGTCCCCAGGTACAAAACACGAAACGGGACAGGGCCGGGTGGGGCCTGGGAAAGGGAGGACCCCAGGCCGAGCCCCGATCGATACCAGAGAGCGGGACCCGCTGAATTTCCAGCCGCCTCGCCCGAACCGCCCGGGAACCAGTCAAAGGTCGCCGTGGCGTCCGGTGCGGCAGAGGATTGGTCCCATTGGGTCATGGTCCGTCACAGATCTGGAAGAAGCCACCATCGACCATTGTTCTCTCTCTCATTGTGGCGGCCACTCGCCTGTCTTCACAACCCTCATGGTCTCCCGAGAGGCGAGTTTCGGACGGTTTGCGGGGTGGCGAGTGCGCGGGACCGGGGAGGGCGTGTCATGAATCCCCCGCATCTCTTGCCCCCTGGTTTATGGAAGGTCGAGGGTCTCGGGGTCTCATGCAGGTTCCGTCTGAGCGTGCTCACCGCTTCCGGTACTCTTAACCTCCCAGCCTTCCTCTTGACTAACAAAATCTATAAAGCAAAATAGGATGAAGGGAGGACCTCGTGACTCGTGTCGTTGAAAATATCATCGCTAGTCAGGCCCATTGCTGGGTGCCATTGGCGGGACATGCTGGTCTTGTGACAGCTCTCGCCTCCTCAGCGGAGCTGGCCAGAACCTATCCCACGCGACTGCCCCTGGCCAGTTTACAAACCTTATCCTCGTCCGGTTTTGCAAACATGCATAGTGTCAAAAACCCATCGAGCTTGGGCCGGGCCAAAGAGGTACCTACATACCGTGTGATTGGGATGTTATGAGGTACTATTACCTAGGCAGACCTGTTAGGATATCCGTCAAATCCGTACCATGTGGTATTGCTCTATGATGTCCCGCACCTCTAAATCTTTTCTACCTGTGCCCCTTGGGTATATATGCGTACATGTACAGAACGCCGTCCTTCAAATGTATAGCTTACATATGCCAATGCCGCATCTTCCTCCTCACCAATCGGTGGGCTTCGGTGGTGACGCGGGAGTTCCCGCTGCCCCTCCCGCCGCCGCCGTATCCTTCGTCCAAAACAACATGCGTTTTGGCAGAGCCTGGAGCAACCTCGCAAAGGGGTCCGGTCTCGGTGTCACTTTCTTTGCCTGTGCTTCCTGGTGTTCCATGCTAGCCAGATAGTGGTGATAATAAGCCACGATTCTCACCAGGCTGACGTCACCCGAATCGTTTTGCGTCTCCTCGAGCTTCTTGGCATATTTCTTTGGGAGTGACCACACCAGTGCCCTCTTGATCTCATAATCGAGCGCAGCGCTGATGTGAAAGCACCAGGCCACGTTGTGTTCTATCGTCCCTGGTGTGTCATACAAGAGGGCGCGGTTGATTCGTTTTTCGACAGCGATCGTAGGTTTATAGTGCGTCCATGTCCGTAATTGACGCGGCATCTTTTTAGCGACGTCCTTGAGGATGGCGTGTTCTGCGCTCCGGATGTGGAAGTCAGCCGAAACCGTTTGCGCCATCAACCAGTCCACCTTTGCTATGCGTTGGATGTGCACCGATTTCTCCATCTTTCGTTTCGGCCGCTCGGCCGCGAAGTTGAGAACAGATAGAACCATATCGAGCCGCTCGATGAGGGGTATGTCATTATCCAAGAGCTTTTTGTCAGCCCGTCTCAGCCACCAGCCCATCATGCTGGTGTGGTGCCACATCTCCCTTATCCAGATGGCCGTCGCCAGGTGTTGGAGACGTGCTTTGTCAGATTTACTCGTCGAGTTGTCGGACTGAAAGCTGGTGTGTCCAACACTGCTAAACCCTGGGAGCGTCGTCGCCTGCACGATGTTGAGGAGGTGACGTAGTTGTCGGATGATCCCGGGTCCGACAGCCTCGGGACCAAGAAGCATCAACGACGTTTGATCGATGTTGTCAAGCAACCCCCGGATCAACATCTTGGCCGCGACCGAGTCAAGCAACGTGAGACAAGAGTGGAACAGCCTCCACATCAAATCTCTGCTGAGCTTCCATTGCTCACGGAGACAGACGCCAACCAGTTTTGCGCCCTCCCGGAACATGCCGAAATCTATCAAGCCCTCCAAGATGGCTTCGGCCACGTCCTGTGTGAAAGGGGCGCGCTGGACGAAGTGTCCGCTGACCGCGGCAACGTCGTTTGTCAAGACCCAGGTCCGGAGTTCAGGGGACCGTTCAACGTAGTCGGCCGTCCTCCGCATCAACCCTATTCCGCGGGGGTCGTAACCGAACATGCGTTTGATGACGCTTTGGAAGCCGACGACGTCCCCCTTCAGCCGGTAGTGGTGTAATAAGCAGAGACATGTTGCTTCTGTCGGTTTCATGTGGCTCAAAAAGAGGAAGGAATCCACCACGGCCTGTGACAGGTTGTGCTCGCCAATGAACGAGAAGGCAAAAATCAACATGTTGTAATTTTGGATGCCTGGGGTAACACCGCACACGAGCAAGTTGTAGCAGATTTTTGCAACATAACGTTCCCGGAAAGGCGGCGACCAGTCGGATAGAATCTGCACGTTAACTTCGTTCAGACGCTCTCGCTGGACCACAGTGTCGTTGGGGGCCAGATCGGGGTGAGTGTAGCTCGGGTAGCCGTCGGAACGCAGCATGCGAATCATGGTGTTGGCCGAGTCTGGGCTATACAGAGAGGGGTGCGACCCGGGAGCTTCGAACTCTGTGATCCACCAAGCCTCTGCCATAAGTCGATCCACCAGATCAGTAATCATATCGGTCACTTTCTCCATGTGTATTTCGGTCTGAGGCTCCCGACGTTCGAGATTCCATTGCTTTTCGGCCGCGATGACCTCCTCGCACCTAACCAACGTTGTCTTCCTCGTATCGGGTAGCTCTGGGTTCCAAGATAGGCCGAGCCCCTCGCGCACGTTCTGGGCTGTCTTGTGTCGATCTCGACGCTTCCGTTGCAGGTCCTGGAGAAAGTCGGCTTCAAGCTTGCAAATATCGCCCAGCACGTCAAGTTTTTCTAACGGTCCGGAGTAAGGAAGATCGGGGTACTGGAACGCGGCGACCTTTGCGAGGTCCTGGCCGGCCGATTCCTCGAACAACCCGGCCAAGCTGCTCCTCGCCTCGGCTATCTTGTTATCGAGCTCGCGTCTGCGCCTGTCTTTCCGGCCAGCGTCGACTACGGCGGCTGTCGCCATGATGGCGGTATAGCAGGCGGTGAAGACATCGCTAGCCATAACTTTGCGGCGTCCCAGGTTGCCCGCGGCGCTTGTCCTCCCCGTCGTCACCCGTCGTGCAGCCGTGTTTGTTGATCGCAGGCACGCCCGGCAGTGGCAGGCCCGCAGCTGGGCTGCCATTGACCGGAAGCCCAGCATCGTCCCGGCATGTCGGCCAAGCTGAACCTGCGATTTTGGGTTGCGGATTGGTGGAATCGGGTGTCGCCGAGGAATTAGAGCTGGCACTTGAACACGAAGCTTGGTGGGATGATGTTGGGATTCTGAAATCACGTCAATTGTGAGCAATTTGCTTGGCCCGGACTGCAATGTGCCGCTCGGGATCCACTCTAGACCTAGAACTTGGCTTGACGAAGCACTCCACTCATCAAAACAGAATGTCGAGCTTTCTAGGTTTTTGAATACTTTCCCGGTGACAATTGATCCCTACAAGTAGGTAGTGAGGTATAGCAGACCAGTTCTCTTTAAACTTTAAGCGGGATGGAAATTGGGTGGTAAATCATGGCTAGTATCATTGAGCGAGGTTAGCAACAAGCGTCCATCCTATCTATCATTTACTCTCCCAATGCCAGCGATGGTTGCTGTGGCTCGATAAGTATCTTACACAGAACTAAAATCTTAGAAATTGACAGAAAATAGAAAGGTGAAAGACACACATGTAGACGGATAGATGTCAAGTCCCTACATGTCCATACCCTAGTTGAGCCTCGTCCTTTCCCGAAGCTTTTTCTTAAAGTGGGGCAGCTTCTTGAGTCCCCCTCCATGTGGGGCAGCAGAGTGCCCCTCAACACCACGAGCGACGACATTGCTGGATCGTCGCCGTATCCAAAGTTGGCCTCCGTCGACAAAACATCAACAACACAAAAGAGTCCCGCAATGTACGCGCTCACACTTTCGGCGGAGTTGGCGGGGTAGGTTCTTTCTTCAATCGCCAGAGATGAGGCCAAGGTATCCATGGCTAACTGGGCACGCCTTGCTTAGAGTAACGAACCTGAGGCCGCAAGACACCCAGGAGAACAACTTCTTTTATACTTTCAAGGTGCAATGTACATCTTGTAGAGAGACCCATCCAAACCCTATCGCTGTCAACCGCTTCGTGAGTCCTGTGTGCTCCCCTTCCATTAGGTCAAGGCTCACACCACACTAGGAGAACAACGAGATGAGTGGCAGCCGGGGCGAGGCCAACTTTGTGTGGAAGTGTAAAAACTGCAAGGTATAGCGTACCCCAGTGCCTTCGGTTCAACGTCGTCTGACCATGGCTATGTGCTTTGCGCAGAGGGAGTCGTCGGCCACGATCAAAGCCGCCCCAACTCCATATGAACAGACGGAACCCGCAAAAGCCCAAAAGATCATCGAGTTCGACTGTCGAGGTCTGGAGTTTACCGAGTTCCTTCCAGAGGTCTGTTACAGGACTCCCTCAAGTGAAACAATGCACATGGTTCTGACAGCAATCAGGGCGAGTGGCTGGTGGACGGAATTGATTCGAATACCAAGTTCGAAGGTGTAGAACTAACAGAGGGGGAATGGTTCGATTATGACGAGAAAGCGGGAGAAGAAGTGAGCATCAAGGATCTCAAATGGGACATTGTGCGGGCATGATTGCGTGATCCCATGAATCTGTGGTTAAATGGCTCGCAATTCATTTATAAATACAAGTTATCAATTTTTGGGAGCTCAAACAGCTGAGCGAACTAGTGGTGAGTTGGGCGGTGATGCCTTGTCCATCAAGGTAAACATCAACAACCAGGGTTCCAGTGATATAATTTGTCAGACTGCGTTTCAAGCCCCACTTGTGGTGTTTTTTCCACAACATGAGGACATTGACAATCCGACTCTCCCCAGAAGCTCACCAACAACTCATCACATCTACGGGCAAGATGAATCCTATCGAACTAACAGCGTCTCTCAGCTTTCTATCCGATGCAGGGCATCTACTAGCAATCACCGCCCCCGAGACGTCGGCATACCTAATGAGCCGTCGCAACGACCTCATGATCGAGCACGAACTGACCCTGTCAGATAAGAACCGGCAACATATCTGCAGTTGTTGCGGCCACATCATGCTCCTTGGTCAGGGCAGTCAATTGCAAGTCAAGGCAGAGCAGAAAGCCGGCCAAAAGTCTCGCTCATCCCAAATGCTCAAAGGGACAGGACCGCGGAAGTCTCGTCCACAGACGAGCCTGGGACCTATGAAAGTCATCACCTGCGGTCATTGCGGCAGCCTGACAAATGTCAAACTCCCGGCGCCATCTCCTATCACAAGGCGCAAAGCGAGGGCGGAGAAAGTTACTTTAGCTTCTAGACTAGGAACAAGCACGCCTCTATCCAGCACCGCCCAAGAAACAACCTCTCAAAAGACAACATCCAACGCCAGCAGCAAAAAGCGAGCCAAGTCCAGGAAAGCTGGATTGCAGGCTTTGTTGAGCCAATCTAGCGCGTCGCGAAACTCGGGGCCTGGGCTCGGTCTGAGTCTGGCCGACTTCATGCAAAGATAAGGCGAGTGAGTTCCTGAACCTTCGGGAAGCTTGGATGTGTCACACCAGGCTCCGCAGACAAGCCTGTGGCCATGACATAAGCCTGCCCAACGCTGCAGCCCCACTGTGGTTCAGAGGCGTCAACGCCGCCTTCTCAATCACTACCCCGCCAAAACTTTTGCAGCAAAGCTAAATTACCCCTCCAAAATTTTCTCTGACACCGGACATCTTGGAAAGTACCACCGCAAATTAAACAAGATGACCGACCTATTCAACACTATCGGAGAGAAGGCCGAGAAGGTCGCTCCGGTGGCCGCCCCTAATGGGACAACGGAGGACGATGAGAAGGTGGTTGAGGAGATCGAGTCCCTCTGCATGAACTGCGAGGAGAATGTAAGTCGCACGCATTCACCTCAGAATCGGAAAGACCGGCGCGTTGATGGACGTTTGCTAACCGTCACCACTACAGGGTATGACACGCCTTCTCTTGACCAAGATTCCCTATTTTCGCGAGATTATCATCATGTCCTTCTCCTGCGACCACTGCGGCTTCAGCAACAACGAAATCCAGCCTGCAGGCACCTTCCAACTCAAGGGTGCCCACTACGAGCTCCGGTTAACAGAGATGCCCGACTTTGAGCGCCAGGTTATCAAGTCCGACACAGCCGTTGTTAAGTTCATTGAGCTGGATGTGGAAGTCCCCGCTGGCAAGGGCCAGCTCTCGAACGTGGAGGGTCTCCTGAGAACGATCATCGATGACCTGGAGTTCGGACAGGAGGGGCGCAAGGAGCAAACGCCTGAGGTGTATGACAAGGTAGCCGAGGTCATTACTCAGGGCAGAAAAATGCTTGACGGCGAAGCATTCCCGTTCCGCGTCTCGGTTGACGACCCGGCGGGCAACTCGTTCATCGCCCCTGACCCGCGCGACGGCGTCGGCAAGTGGTCAAAGCGAGAATTTCTCCGCACACCCGAGCAGAACGCAGCCCTCGGTCTTACCGACACCGCCAAAACGGACGATCTCGACGAAAACGGCGACATTATTCCCGATCAGATTTACCAGTTCCCGGCCTCTTGCCCCGGCTGCTTGCACTCTTGTACGACCAACATGAAAATGGTTGAGATCCCGCACTTCCGGCAAGTAGTCATCATGAACACGTCATGCGACGACTGCGGGTATAAGTCGAACGACGTCAAAACCGGCGGCGAGATCCCGGAGAAGGGCAAGAAAGTCACCCTCCGCGTCCGCAATGTCGAAGACCTCGCGCGCGATATCCTCAAGAGTGAGAGCTGCGCCCTCGAGTGCCCTGAGCTCAGCCTCACGGTCAACCCCGGCACTCTCGGTGGCCGCTTCACCACGGTCGAGGGCCTGCTTACCCAGATACGTGATGACTTGCACAGCCAGATCTTTGAGGCCGATGCCGATTCTGGGCCGGCGGCGCGCAAGAACGACTCGCTCGATAAAGAGGAGAAGACACGTTGGGAGAAGTTCTTCGACGATCTCAACACAGCTATCAAGGGCGAAAGTGAATTCACTATCATACTCACAGACCCACTCGCGAGCAGCTATGTTCAGAGCACAGCCGAGGACCCCTCCCAGCCGGACGGGCAGATGACTGTTGAGGAGTATGAGCGCACAGATGAAGAGGAGGAGGACTTGGGGCTGAAGGATATGAAAACGGAGGGGTATGAAAACGATGTTTAGATGGGGGAGGTGGCTTCATGATTTTTTTTAACAAAGATTATTTTCATTTTGTCAGAGATGTGAGGCGGCGATGGTTGATCGATAGAATCCGCGATATACCCTTGTTCGGGTCGACATGAATTTACATGATGTGATGCCGCAAAGGCCATGGACGAAGCTTGGTTTTTTCTCCTCGTGGCTTCGTACAATGATGCGTTTAGTGTTGGGAACGGCATAGTTAACTATATTTAAACCAAGAACATAAAATTTACATTCACGCGACTGAACAACTTAACGAAGGGCTGTTTCGCAGCATTTTTTTTCCAACACCATCAGTAGAGAACTTCAGTGCTCCAATCCTTCCAATGGTAATTTTCTGAATCGTTCTTCAATAAACCAAAAGTGGGTTGTTCATTGGGAAGATTATAAGGGAGAACGGGGTTACGTCGCAGAGTGACGACAGGTAGGGGATTTACATCAACATGTAGCCTAGGCGTCCTACAAAACAACGTATACACATAACATTGGGACCTTCTTTTCTCAACGGGTGGAATACGTTTCGTGATAAGGAACAAACGTCTACCAGGCCATCTATTTCCCTCGCGAGCATCAAGCTTTCATCCCGTGGTATCACTTCCCCAACAGCCACCAGCAAAGGAACGGTGCACGAAAGCAAGTGAGCAAATAAGCAGAAATAAAAAAGGATCGGCAAATCAGGGGTAAATGCAACGGATGTCTGCTAGCTATTAAGGCCAGTGGGAGAGAGCAGCGCGGAATAAAAGCAATGAGGAAGCTGCCAGATGCCTCAAGCATTAAGAAAGCCACCTCCACCGTTCAAGTCGCAAACAACGTTTTCCACAAACACAGCTCCCGCTGCTTCGAGACCCGCGGCCAGGATGGGAAAGCAAGACCATCGAAATGGTCCACCCATCAACAAAGCAAAGAAAAGAGAGCAACGGACGAAACGCAAAGCAGCAGTCGTGAGAAACCTCCCCCCGCTCGACCCCAGGCAAATTCATCCATGTCCAGGACTCCTAGACGCCGCTTCCCCTCTTTATCTCCCCCGTCAACCCCGCCTGAGACCGATTACAACCCCTATATAGATAGGAGAAGGGCCGAAGATAGAGAGAGAACCCCCACGCCATGGAAAAAGAATCCGGGTATCGCCCATCCCATCGCCCAACATTAAAAACACACAAGAAAAAAAGATTTTAGACCACGCCGGCCCCATTCTCAACACGGCAAAAAAAAGAAAAAGAAAGAAAGAAAGAGAAAAGATGAAGAGACCCGAAGCGCGAGGTCTAATGATACCGAAACCCGAGATTGTCGGTGATAGAAACCGGAGAAATTATTGAACCCATCCATACACATAAAGTCAAGCCCCTCACGCCGCTTAGAAGAAGGTCGGCTTCGTCAGGACGCGATACTCGACATAGTCCTCGCCGTCGATGGTGATAATCATGCCCTGGCTGACTAGCTTGCCCTGGAACGGCCCGTTCTGCTTGCGCTGATACTTGACGCCCATGTAGATCTTTGCGTCCTCGCCGCCGGCGCGGAGGCGGTTAGCCTCCTGCGCCTCCCACACCTTGTTGAGACGGGAGACGTTGTCCTGGAAGTGGCCATTCCCGTTGCCGTCGCCGCCGTTTGCGGCGCTGTGATTCGAGGTCAACCCGGCGGCGGCCGCGGCCGCTGCCGCAGCGACTGGGCCGAGAGATGTTTCGCGGCTGGCGGCGCGCAAGTCGGCGCGTGCCTGGGCAGCCTCGAGACGGGCGATCTCGCGGCGAGCGAGCGAGTTGGTGCGCTCGAGGGCGGCGGGGCTGGGCCCGGACGGGGTGCGGTTGGCGGCACCGAACTCGACGTCGGGAAGAGGATGGCGGCCCGCTGCTGTCGCCGCCGCACGGGGCCCGTTCTCGAGGCGCCGTGACTGGCGGAGTTCCTCGGTGATTCTAGGGGACACGAAGGAAGATGCTGGGCTGCCAGAGCTATGGCCGTAGCTGTCCACCACTACGGCCCCCTTCATGGCAATGGGGAGAAGATCCGGGTCGTCCTTCCGGAGGGGTATGCCGATTGCAAGGCTTTGCACGACCCGTTGCTGAGCTTCGTAGACAGCCTTGGTCTCATTTGCGACACGCTCCTCTGGGCCCTCCCCAAAGTCGAGTTGGCGTTGCCGGACCCGGCAGTACTCTTTAACCTCATTCCTGCTAAGCTTACGAAGATGGGGGTCGAACTCGACTTCATCCCAGTGAATCCAGAGCGCGCCGGCACCACTGGGGAAGTTACCAATGACGGTCCGCCCATCCCGTGTCTCACGAGTCAGCTTGACCCTGAACATATCGTTGGCGCCGAGAATGCCGAACACCGCATGTTTGTTGATGGGATCCTCCTCGCTGGACAACTTCCAGTAACCAAGAAGTATCCTCGTCGGTCTGGTACCGGGTATATTATCGAGGGACGGCTGAACGGACTTTGGCGACTCGGACGGCACGCCAAAGGAACCAGCCAAGCGGCGCTTCTTGCTCTCGGGTCGATTGGGAATGACGGCATTAGCGGGAACCTGGGGCCCGTAGGCAACCAAAGGTGCCGTGGCAGCATCCGGGGGCGGGTTAGTCCTCACGCGTTCAGCAGCCTTCTCGACGGCCTCCAGGTCTAGCTTAGCCCTGCCCTCCGACACCTCATCCTTGCGGTGGTCCTCGGCGCGGATTTTAACGTATTCTTTGACCACATGGTGATTGTGACCAACGAGGTGGTCATTGAAAGCTACCTTGTCAAAGGTGACCCAGCTACCACCAGGGCCGGGCGGGATCGGATATCTCTGGTCCATCGGCCGGCCATCCCGGGTTGTGGGCTGGATACGAGTGCGGAGGCGATCTCGGATGTCGATAAATCCAACAACCCCATGCTTATCCGCCTCATTCTCTGCGGGAGAATCACGCCAATAGCCAAGTAGCACCCCCTTTACGCCGCCGACGCTCTGTGCCTTGGTGGGGCGAATCGGGCGGCGGATATCCATGTCTTCGGTAGGTGCCGGGCTGACGTCCTTCTCACCGACGGATTCGGCATATACGCCCGAGACCCGCTTCCGTTTCGTATGCTGGATGATGAGTGGCTTGTCCTCTGCTTCGCCCATCGCAACGTCTTCCGATTCAGGAGCTTGGGTTGGGGAAGACTTATTATGAGCGTTGCTCCCCACAACAATTTCGTCCTGTAGAATATTAGGGGGGATACTTGAGGTGTGGCTCAATGTATCCTCGATGGGGGAATCGGGTGGCGGTGTGAGTTCCTCGTTGTTATCCAAGTCGATATCCTCGGTGGTATCAGCGGGGCTGCCCGGCTTGCTATCCTCGTAACTCAACAGTTTATTTTCGCCGTTTGGTGGCGGATGGTTGCCGTTGAGACTGCTATTCAGCTCAAGTTAGATAGACTTAGAGAATGTGTTTAGAAAATAGGCGACAGAACTTACAGGTAAGATGAGTCTGCTGGCGGAGAGGCAGTGCGGCCCACAGAAGGCGGCTGGTCGAGAAGACCACCTTCGACCTTTGCTTCCGAGGGGGGGATGCTAATGGTGTTTCAAGACGTTAACATTTGCCTGACAAGTCGAAGAAGGCATGTAATTGTTGGGGGTAAATGGGAGATGGACTGTGTGGTACTCGAGGGAAGGGGTGAATGGCTTACAGCTCGGTGGGTTCTTCTTGTGCCGGAGTCTCTGCAATATGGGATGTAGAAGATCCATCCATCCCCGAGTCACTGAATGTGGCACTCGTCAGCATCTCGGCCTCGAGCAGTAAGTGATCGAAACGTTCGACCCGTGTTAAATCTGTGCCTGGCAGATGGTAGAAGCGATGGGCAACAAAGAAACACTAGGTGAACGTTGGAAACAAGGGGATAAGGTGGCCGAGAATCCTTTCATAGCATGAATGGGTATGTATTGGGGTAGAGCAAAAGAAACGAGCTTGCCTTTGGGAACGTGATCTTGATAGGAAAGACCTGCGTGGCTCTCATGTTAGGCCTCTGTTATTTGTGTGTGAAAGATGAGATGAAAGGGCCGTGAAGTTGATGTTGCGGGAAGTAACGAATGGAATGGAGAGGGGGGAGGAGGGAGGGTGGCTGGCGGTAACACCGACAAGAGTCCTTCCCGAGGCAACTCGAACTTGGAGAACGAGGAAACAAATGATCAAACTGCTTTTGACAGGTAGTGGTTGCAGGATGCGCCTAAGGGGTAGATAAAAACAGATAAAGGGGGGATTGAACCAAACTATGCCCATATCTCCATGTTTTCTAACAGAACATTAAGAATGAACGCAGTTAACTCACTCATCGGTCCGCTCAATATTTGTCTCCATAGGAGCAGGTGACAGAGCGACGGAAGGCGAGCCATCCCCTGTCATGATAGCTTCAGGAACCGAGTCCATCTCGGTCATGTCTTTGTTTACTGCCTGGATACAAAGAACTCAGGCTCACGTCTTGGAAATTGTCAGTGATGGGGGATCAAGGAAGATAACAATAATGTGGACGAAGAAACAATCATCAACTCGGAAAGTATACAGTGAATTTCAGACGAAATGAAGACAAAACGAGAAAATATAGGGCAAGCACGAATAATACCGAGGGATGAGTGGAAACGCGCTTACCCTGCCTGACCTGAGCCAGTCAACCGCCCAACGTGGCAAACGGCACGAGTTGGACGAGATTAAAAAAAAAGTCTTGGCGCACTTATGTCTCTTGCTGGGAGAAGTGAAGCGATGGACTCCCTGTTTCAAGAGGCCGGGTGGGAGATTTCGCCTGAGGTTGAAAAAGCACCGAGCGAGGTTGGGTGAGGTGTGATGGCTCGAGGTTGAGGTTGTCGCAGGTGAGTCCCAAGTCGGATCATGCAGGGCCCTTTTCGTCTCCCAAAGCAGGATGCGCCAAAACACGGATTACGGCTGGCGCCGGGCTTGGGTGTGATAAGGCGATGTAAGATACCAGGGTATCAATCCAAGGCTGTGTTCGAAAACGGATAAGAGCCAAAATAGGGACGTGTATTGCAAGTATTGCAAAAGAAAGATAAAAGAGTTACAAACGGAGGGATAAATGTGAGTTGTAAGAGGAGAGAAAAGGGAAAGTGCGGTGGGAAGCAAGGTGAACTGGCGTAAGTGGGTAGATAGGAGCAATTGAAACCAAGGGAGACAGATCATTTGTCGAGGCCGGGGGAGACTTGAAAGGTACGGGTTACAAGTACCGGAGGATGACGGGATGATTCAGTGTTCAGCCAAAATTGCACCAGTTGAGATTTGAGAACCCCTTGGGCTGGATCGGGGCTAAGCGAGGGGGACTCGGGAACTCTGCCAAAAAAAATGCCAAGTCCCGGCCTCTCATTGGACTCAGAAAAAAAAAACAGCGGGCGTTCTTCGAAGAGGTCGAGCAAACAACACAATGATAAATTGCGCAGAACCGCTGTGGTTCCTAGGAAACATGCTAAAGCGCGACCTAGCCCTAACGAACACTGTGCTGGAGCGTTCTCGTCTATTTATGGTGTTATTTGTTAGTTGGCCGCCCTTCCAGAGATCCCACACCCTTGCATCGCTACCTTCCAGATCAAGCGGTCGCCCTGAAGTTCAAGGTCTGAAACATGTCCATTATCTGTTGCGTCAGAGTGGGAGAAGCTTGGCCTTGGTCTCCGGGAACAGCCGAGGAGTCCAGTCAATAGCCAAACTACCCATTGACTGAGGGCTCAGCCCAAGGCGAGTGTCCAAGTGAGAAATAAACGGCGCATACCCTGCTTTGAGCAGTTTTTTCCACTTTCACTCGTCTTTTCGAGGGAGGTCGGCTCCTTACGGCCGCTGATCAATATGTTACGAGAATTAATAGCCGCGTCCGCGGTGGGTATCAGGATTGTAGAGTCGACTCTTGTGGCGCGATGGTGAGAGAGGCTCCACATGAAACAACCCCATTGGCTGGCCCGTTTGCAACTCAAACCCAGCCTAAATCGCGACTTGTCAACCAAGTCAGACGGTGCAACGCGACAAAACGACATTGTGGTTGCATGGGCCTCGCAGTTATTGGAAGTGTCTCTTGTTGCCCAGGCACTGTATGTATGACAGCATAACGCAGCTACTTCTCCAATATCGACGTTGCTGGGGGTGTGCCGCCTCTTATGACTGTTTTTTCTTTGACTTGGATTTGTTGGGTGAAAATGAAGCAAGTGCAAGCTCAGCGCAAGCTAAGCGCAAGCCAGCGAGGATCACCAGCCCAAAATGCTGGGACAAACCGACGCCACATTTTCCCATTATGTGAGAGTCCCACGCCGAGCCAACAAACGATAGGTGCCAAAATATATGCACAATGGGTTGCTTGGCCAGACTCTCCAACCAAGAACAAACCAACGGGAACCGCAGAAATCCTTCGTCACAAGCTAGCCTTGTTACCTCACCTCATCCAAGCATGGAACCTATGCCGTCAACCACCGCAAATATGGCGTCTTCAGTCGCCATGACCTGGGAGACAAGACACCCTGTACTCGAGCGCTTTGCTCCCCTACCTTTGTGTGACTCGGGCTAAGGTGCGTATCACGTATGACAAACAAGGCGCCATGACAGAAAACCCGGGTTGAATACGAGGAACATCCGTGGCTGTCAGGAGTGAGTGATTGATTGCCTGTAACCAACGACCCAGGATGTTTCGGATTGGCAATGCAACCAAAACACTACAAGCACAACGACACAGTAGAAAGATCAGAAACAAGAGGTAAGGATGCCCGATGTCAAAACTGGACACGAATAACTGAGTCTATAATGACGTG